AAAGACCAAAGGTCACGGATTCGATTCTATGAAATAGTTTGTATGTAAAAACACGAAATAGTTTTAACAGCATTTAACATACGTAAAATATCAATTTTAGAGATGTTTCATTTTTTATGGACATCAAAAAAAGAGTATACTTAATTCAGATGTGTTTTTGTTTATTTGTATGTATGTTACGTAATATCTCGCCAATTCTAAACTTTCAACATTCTTTTTATAAATATGTTACATTTTAGTTTTACATTTCTATGGCATTTTAAGTAGGGACTTAAGTGTCTCAATAAACACTTGTCAATACGGAAGACATACTGACACTTTAAAGTGTTGTAATCCACTTTAAGAGAAGATTGACAAACTTGTTTTTTCTGGAAAAAACTGGCTCTTATCTATTCTAATCAAGCGATAACTTTAATCGATAGATGCGGTAGCTTACATTATCTTTTAAAGGATCTCGAAGCTTGTTACAGTATATAATATATCTAAATACTAGCGACTCACCCTCGCTTTGTGGTTCGTCCCTAGGTTTTAACGGTTTTAACGATTAGTATAGAATAGATATTCTATATACTGATATATACACATATTATTTTTTTCTAACTTAAACTTGACGTATTGTTGTAGATATTAGGTCCACCACTATTGAAAGTAATCCGAAGTAGTGATTCCCATACAAAATAACCAGTTCTGAACTTTTCGATTTTCCAGCTGTTCTTATGGGCTTTTCCTATTTTCAACCGACTTCAAAAAGGAGGAGGTTCTCAATTCGACTGTATGTTTTTTTTTTTTTTTATGTTTGTTACCTCAGAACTTCGTCATTTATTAACCGATTTGGAAAATTTTTGTTTTGTTTGAAAGGGTATACTTCCAGATTGGTCCCATTTAAATTTCAAAAAAAAAACCACCCCTAAGGGTGGAAAAACAACTAATGATGAATTTAACCTACTTCTCATTGTCATATTGACTTGAAACTTTGCAAGTATTTCTATTTCCGTTGATAGTACAGTGATTCGGTGTTGTTGACCTGATCTGATGGCAAGGCCAGAAGGTGGATAGGTGGAACTCTTCAACGGCTAATAGTTGATACTTTGAGTTTGGGCTTATTTTGTTTGATTTGACAAGCCTAACACGTTAGAATCCTTACTTTGCTACTACTGTCTACACTAAAAAGGGAAAAATAAAAACTTTTTAACAAAAAAATAAAAACCGACTTCAAACAAAAGCACTAAAAAGTAAAAAATAACTGATTGGTAGTTTTCATTTACTATACATACCTAATCAAATATTTTCGAAGTCGGTGTGCTTTGGCTAAGTAATTAAAGCCTACCTATTTAATACATACCTAATCAAATATTTTCGAAATCAGTGCCAAAGCAAAGCACACCGACTTCGAAAATATTTGATTAGGTATGTATAGTAAATGAAAACTACCAATCAGTTATTTTTTACTTTTTAGTGCTTTTGTTTGAAGTCGGTTTTTATTTTTTTGTTAAAAAGTTTTTTTCTTTTATATTTAAACCATACCTGATATACCTCCAACAAAACAAAAAAGAATTATTTAAATCGGTTCAGCCGTTTTTGAGTTTTAGCGAGACTAACGAACAGCAATTGATTTTATATATATATATATATATATATATATATATATATATATATATATATATATATATATACTTATTATAAAAATAAGTCCCCCGGCCGCGTCTTTCTGTCCTCCTGTCTGTCTGTACGCGATAAACTCGAAAACTACTGAACGGATTTTTATACGGTTTTCAACAATAGAAAGAGTAATTCTTGAGGAAGGTTTAGGTATATAATTTATTATGCTTTTATGTAAATTAGCTGAAATACGGCGACAAATGTTGAAGAGGTCGCAAAAAATCTCGCCAAATGGGAACTTTCCACGCGAACGCCGCGTAAACTAGCAAAGATACAGTTAAGTAATGTACTAGAGAATTCAAAATCTATAAAAATGCTACAAAAAAGTCCGCGATAGCATATCTCTATCTCTTACGGTTGACTTACAATAACCACTTTTATGTTAACATTTTTAATTAAAAACATTACGTTATTTTCAAAGTTATTTTCTTTAGTTCGGTATTAATCCTTATCCAAATGAATATTTTAGTTAGCTTAGTCATTTAATGCAGATTAAAATTGCTCTTTACACTAAATCAATCAGATGAATAGTTTTTGAGATATCGTTGTTAGAAGTAATTAGTAGCGAAACATTTTTAATGCTTGGCGAGCATTGAGATGCCTACGGCGAGTCCATCCCCTCTGCCCCGCATCGCTCGACCGCCTGCTCAAGCTATATAAACCGGGCGATGTAGCGCGCGATCCTAGGATACTTTTTACCGCGGGAAAATATCTTATTTCTGAGGAAAAATACAAAAACTGCAATGTAAGAGTATACTAATATGTAACACCTAAGAATTTAGTTTTTGGTCATCTGAACGCGGGCGGAGCCGCGGGCAATGCTAGTATATATATATAGATTAGTCTGTAGGTGGCTTTTATATTTAGACAGCAGGACCTTTTGGCAAATTTTATTCCTAGCATTAGCCTACTTCAGGGTATAATCTATGTCATTTCAGGCGTTTAGCTTAAAGGAAGAACATATACATAGCACACACATACAAATTTTGCATTTATTTGATAACGTTGAAAAAAAAACGTTTTTTGCTCAAAAAAATATTTTTTTTAAGGTCTAAACCGGTTACAACTGGTTCTTGCCAGAATATTCTGGTCGCGAGGTCGTTGAACTGCATATCGACAGACACTTGTGTTTGAATGTTAAGTACTTTTATTCGTAAGACTTAAAACTTATTATGCATATAACATTTTGGTATACTTTCTATCCTATCTATCCTATCCTATATAGATAGATATCTATCCTGTGAAAAATCCTATTTTTTTGTAGGATAAAAGGATGTCTAGGATCTAAATGATGATGATGATAACACGCCAAAACTAAACATCGTTTAAAAAGTTTCGCAATTTAGTCATTATAGACAAACATACATTTTTTTGCATTTATATATAAATAGAGCTTATGCTGTACTATGTACATACATATTTTATTTCCCAACATCAATTGCACATGTATGGAATAACACAAAAGGGAAAGCTCTTTTGTAACAATATGATTGCCTAATATTATAATGCATAGATATAATCTTTTCGCTTTTTGTTTTTATTATGAAACTGTCCTAGTTATTACCCTTAACGGCTAAGCGCGAGTTGGAATCACAATAAGTGTTCCGTAACTATCCATTTAACATTCGACGACACGTTTGGCTCAGTTTGTAGCGACCCTTCTTGCTGTGCCAGCGGTCGCGGGTTCGAGTCCCGCTGGGACATTCATTTATCTGAGGAGTCCAACTGGATGGGTATTACCCCCTTATCTATTTCTGCCACCAAGCAACAATGATTTCATTGTTGTGTTGCGGTTTGAAGAATAAGATAGCCAGCGCAATTACAGGCAAGCGCCTACGGTTCTGCATTTTTGTTACATAAAACCTAAGTGCATGAACCGTAGATGTTATGGGCGATACGTACTGCTTTCCATCAGGTGGTCTGCCTGCTCGTTTGTCATTAAACATCATAAAAAAAATAGTCCGCCAACCCGCACTTGGCCAGCGTGGTGGATATTGGAGCAACCCCAGGCCCAACCCCAGAAGTGGGACGTTAAAAAGGGCTATACTAGTAATGTGATAAAACGGATATTTGTTATGATAAAGAAGTAAGAGAAAAACATGCGCAAGCGCAAGTATGTACGATACATATTAAAGTAACACGATAGGAACATAGTGAGAATTATTTCTATGAAGCTATAATATTTTATGGGTTGTTTGATGGTGTCAATACATATAATATATGAATACATGAAGACATGAAGACATGAGAATACATGCTATGTATATTTATAAATGTGAGTAAGATAAACATTTATACATATAATAAAATTCTAACAGAGTCGAATCTGTACATTAAATATTTTTTGGAAAATCTTATTGAAATAGCGATTATTATCGATAAAGAGGCCGAATCTAAAGTTTTTAGACTGACTATCTGTCTGGGAACGCATCATGAGCAATCTACTGGACAAATTTTGATGAAATATGGTATAATGATAGCTGGTTATCTGGGTTAACATATAGATAGGATATTTTTTTCTGTGGGAAATTATCTCATCTCTGAGAAATCTATATTAAACGTTAAAACGTGTATGTATATTTTCTCTGACAGCCTAAGTTTATTTAAAAAGAAATTGTATTTAAATACATAATATATTTAAATTAGTTTCATTTCATGTACAATTTAAATGGGTCCTTATATCAATATAAATAAATAAAATCCAAGTGTCTGTTTGTAATGTCAAAATGAAAGTATATACGGTACGTATGATAAAAAACAATTATTAAAATTTTTGTCTGTCGGTTTGTTTGTTCTGGTTTATCTCATGACATTTTGACAGGACTTCCTCTGGCAGATAGCTGGTGTTATAAGGAGTAACTTAGGCTACTTTTATTTTAACAAAAGAATTAGGGTTTCGAGGAAAAAAATTAAATAGTACCTAGGGACGAACACGAGCGAGGCGAGGGTAAGTCGCTAGTATATAAATAATTTTCGATTCATTGATTGAAGCAAAACTTAGCTAAATGACTCAGACAAGATGTCAGTGTTCCTTATTTTGTGTCTTAAATATATATATACAGTATATGTGAGATGATACATCGTAATAAAAGGATATAAAATATATATCTGTATGCAACATACAAACAAATTTTCTCATCTACATATACATATATACTTACATAGATTATAAATTCTCAATATCAACAAATCATATGTAAAATAACACTGTGACAATAAAAAAACCAAATCATTGACTAAAAATGTGAAAAAAACCCCCACAAAATGGCAAAATTTCTCAACAAAATGGGTTTATTTAATAAGAAGAACAGAAACAGTGTATATTCTATGGTATCGTGCAGTGACGTCACACCTGGAAGCCTAGAAGTATGGGTGGAACTACCTGATGCCATCAAATTCGATCCAGCCCTCGCGCCTTTTAAGCAACTATATGAAGAGCATCACGGTAAGGACTTTATTTTTTTTTCTATACTAGTATTGCCCGCAGCTCCGCCCGTGTTCAGATGACAAAAAACCAAATTCTTAAGTTTTACATATTAGTATACTTTTACAATGCAGTTTTTGTATTTTTTCTCAGAAATGAGATATTTTTTCACGGTAAAAAGTATCCTATATATTGACCCGGTTAACCAACTATCACCATACCAAATTTCATCAAAATCCCTTCAGTAGTTTTTTTGTGATGCGGTAACAGACAGACAGACAGACAGACAAAAATTCTAAAAATTCTATTTTAATAACATTTCCCAAAAATATTTAATGTACAGATTCGGCTTAGTTTCAATTTCATTATATGTATAGATTACTAGAATTGATCCCGTAGTTTTAAAAATTAAGGGATTTTCATACAATTTCCAACCCCCTTTTCAACCCTTTAGGGGTTGAGTTTCCAAAAATCGATCCTTAGCGGATCCCTACTCCTTATAGTAGGGGAGACCAAGAGGGGAGTTTGGGATTTACTCAAGCGCGGCAGATTAACATAAGGGGGGATACCTTGCACTGTGTTGAGTACCTGTTATCTAAAGGGTGGTTTCATACAAATTTCAAAAAAGAAATCCAAGTATTTAAATTTGTACCTTAGTGTATTAGATACAAAGTTATTATTTCAATATTTCTTTCTAGATCTAGCGTTTTTCCAAGGCTCTGCTCGTGTTTAGTATACTTACACATACATACATATATGTACTTGCTCCACTTAAGAGTTATAGCGTGATGGTAGACACCCTACAACTTATCTAAATAAATCTATAAAAATATTATAAATGTCAAAGTAACTGACTGTTACTTTCACGTTTAAACCGCTGAACAGATTTCGATGAAATTTCGCAATGGCATAAATTGCATCCTGGGGACGGACGTAGGCTACCTTTTATCCCCATTCTCCACCATATAATAACACTTAAGAGTTTGGTTTTTGGTCATCTGAAATGTAAGTTGTATATAAAAAACAAAAGATAAAAAGATATTCTAGTCCAGCTGAGCTTGTTTCGCCAGTTCTTTTTTGGACTGAGAATTCTTTCCAAACTGGTAGCCGACTCATGACGTTCAGTAAAGGGCGACTTTTGGGGGATTAGATTATATTTAGAGCTAATAAGAGATACTATCCCGAATATTCTTCCCATACTTCTAGATTAATTTTCTCTTTAAAGAAGTAAAAAGAAGATAAAATTTAAACTTCATTTTTCTTTCTTCTCTTTCTGCAGGCAAATTGGAGTCACCAGAACTCGATCAAGAAGGAGAAAGAAATATTTTCAACACAAAAATTTCAAGCGAAGCAGTCTTAAACAATGAGAGCGACAAAAACTTAAAAGATACGAATAACAGGTATGATTTCTTTATATTGTAGCTTATTAGCTGTTGTTTTATCTGCTTCTTTAGTGTATTTATTTACTTGCTACCGACTTCACCTCACTTCGCTCGGGTGCGTCCGTATGTACGTTTTGGTCCCTCAACGACCGCGGACACGCCGGCGTTACAGTTAATAATAGATTTCTTAGAAATTTAATTAATTTCATAGAAATTTACCTGGAGATGTTAAATAGATATGAATATTTATTGCGAGCGTACCTTAGGAGGTAGACATAATTCGTTGGCTTACTATTACAAGGTTCTATGTTAATTTTAATAAAGTTTAGTAATTTTTACTTAGAACTTCGTTATTTTGTTATCGTATAAAAAAACAACATAGAACTATGTAAAATTGAATATTTTGTAGTTAAAGTGCCGCTATCTAGTGGTTTGTTTTTGCAAAACTGTAGCTAATGACACATAGAACCTTGTAGCATTCATAACTAAATAAGTACTAAAATTGTAACATAGAACCTTGTAATTGTGAGCCAACGAATTATGCTATAACAAACTTTACTGTTTTAAAAAACTTACCTAACTGGAAGCGTTCACTTTAATTTCTGCTTGGTGGTTATTAAGCCAATGATTTTAAATGGCGCTCGATTCTATAAGAAAACCTCAAATGACGCTCGAACGCCAGGTGGCGCCACCAACTGCCAGTTTTAAGGTGGATATAAGTACAAAAACTGGTGCTTTAACGACGGAAACCTAAAATTTTCTAGTACATTTTTTTCTTGTATATCTTAGGGTATAGCCAGTATAAGGACGACTAAACAGCATTAGTTATTGTGATTTCCAGTGGGAATGAAAGATTTTCTTATAGTAAAAGCTATCCTAAATGTTGACCCGAGTAGTAAGTTATCACTAAACAAAATTTAGTTTAAATTGGTTCAGTACTTTTTGCATCAAATGCACACACGGTTATACAGACAAACAGACAAAAATTTCAACAGCTTTTATTTTGGGGTCTTTATTCTATACACAATACGTAACAGTCATTTTAAAAAAAAAATCATGTACAGAATTCGCTTTGTTACTAATTTTTTATATGTATAGATTTTCTTTATTATATATTTTATCTATTTGTTTATTACGTTTATTATTATCGTTATATATAAAATTCTGTTGTGTGTGTGTGTGTGTTCGTAATTCATCTCCTAAACAGCTTCACCGATTTTGATGTTTTTTGATCAAATTATTTGGGCGCTGTTATCAAAGGTCCATTTTTTATTTTTATTTTTTACCATATTTGGTTAGGTTAGTGGTAGGACAAGGTCAGCCTACTGGGTTGTCTTAGTAGAGGAGCTCATTAGCGTCTGGCAGTTCAGCCGGGCGCGAAGCCAAGAAACGCACAGGGAGGTGGCCCACTTTAATCGGCGGTATACCATGCGGGTTGCTCCTGGTACTTTTCTGACGGCGAAGTGGATCGTGAGAGCAACCCCATGGTTGTAGCGGTCTGCTTCGGCAGACCTGTCATCGGGGTATCGTAGTTGAGTGAGGAGGACGTGGGAGGTTTTGCTGGGTTTTAGTGGGTAGTACTGTCTTTTCTAGTTCGACTTCGACATAACCACCTGTATGTATACAGGTGGTATGCATAAATGCAAAAAAAAGTACCTGCTATATACAAAAATAACATACACACGCCTTCAAAATGTGAATAGGTCTTTAATAGGGCAAGGTACGTGTATATATATATAATTCTTGTGTGAGTGTGTATGTCACTGAACTTCTCTCAAACGACTGGACCGATTTTGATGAAATTTTTTGTGTGTGTTCAAGGGGATCTGGGAATGGTTTAGATTCACAATTTGAATAATAATTTTCATCAAAAAAATTATTAAAAAAAGTTTGAAATTTTCAAATTAAAGACGTGTAGACAGGACAACGTCTGTCGGGTCCGCTAGTATACATATATATTTTTTTGTTTGTTTGAACGTGCTTTAGCAATAGCTGAGAGCAAACGTTAGTCTCTTTATATATGGTACCAAGTTACAATAATTTCTTGCAATACCATATAAAGCTTGTGCCATTCCTTTCCTTTAAATGTAAATAAGCCTTATCGATAGTATTCTAATAAACAAACACATTGTTGTAATCGCTACATGCCTTTTAGGGTAGAAGTTGTTTTGTAAAATATATTTATACCTATATTTATTACATAGAATAATATTCCAAGTAAGCATTTAATTATTTCTCAGAGATTAAATATTTTCCCGCAGTAACAAGTATCGTATATGTTAAACCGGATGGCCAGCTATTATCATACCAAATGTCATCAAAATCTGTCCAGTGGTTTTCTCGTGATGCGTCCACGGACAGATAGACATACAGACAAAAATCCTAAAAACTGTAGTTTCGGCCTCTATTTCTATAATGATCACTAATTCAATAAGATTTTCCGAAAAATATTTAAAGTGCAGATTTATTATATTTACTAGCGACTCACTCTCGCTCCGCTCGGGTTCTTCCCTAGGTGATTCTTTAAAATGACGTAACTTTTCTATTTATGAACCGACTGTAATAAAATAAATACTAAATATCAAATGAAGGTTACCACAATATATTAGTGAAAACCGCATCCAAATCGGTTAAGCCGTTTCTGAGATTAGCGCGCACAAACGCACAGACAAACAGACAAAAAATGTAAAAATCATTGTTTTGTGTTCTATTGCGTAAATAAAGACCCCCATTGATAGTTTTTCTCAAATATCTTCCGTGTACAGACAGCGATCAGTTACAATTTTATTATATGTAAAAATATAAGATAGATAGACTATTTTTCGGATTTTTTTCACGAATTTATTTTGATTTTCTGTTCCCGACGCGACGTTTCGAATGCTTTACAGCTTTAAACATCATTAAGTATTTATAAAATGAAATTGTTAACATTATTTATGTTATTAAAACGCTATTAATTTATTAAATATATATATATATATATATATATATATATATATATATATATATATATATATATATATATAGTGTAATTGACTAAAATGATAAATGGCTTTTCGTGACCTCTGTCTGACCCCTTGTGATCTACTGACACTAAAATGTTATAAACAAATAATTTTGCTTGTGTTCCTATAACATAATTATACATTTTTATAATTTAGAAAGAAATGCGATTTATTTTATCTATTATACAATCTATACATATAATAAAATTTTTACTTGAGTCGAATCTGAATATTTTTTGGAAAATCTTATTGAAATAGTCATTATAATCGATACTCTAAATCTAATCTATGTATAGTTGTTAGAAATTTTTGTCTGTCTGTATGTCTGGGAAAACCACTGGACGGATTTTGAATGATAGCTGGTTATCCGGGTCAACATATAGGATACTTTTTACTGAGGGAAAATATCTCATATCTGAGAGATATATACTACCGTTTAGTAATAAGAGTATCTTTTGTTCCAGGCTTGGCGAACCACCGCAACATGAAGAAACCAAAAAAATACGTTCTACTAGAAAAAAACAGGTAATATTTACTAATATTGTACACTAGCATTGCCCGCGGCTCCGCCCGCGTTCAGATGACCAAAAACCAAATTCTTAGGTTTTAAATATTAGCACCTCCAGGTAAATTTCTAAGAAATAAATTAAATTTCTAAGAAATCTATTGTTAACTGTAACGCCGGTCGTGGAGGGATTAATATACTCTTAAATTGCAATTTTTGTATTTTTTCTCAAAAATTAGATATTTTCCCGCGGTAAAAAGTATCCTATATGTTGACCCGGATAATCAGCTATCACCATACCAAATCAAAATCCCTCCAGTGGTTTTTCTGTGATGCGGTAACAGACAGACAGACAGATAGACAGACAAAAATTCTAAAAACTATAGTGTTATAAACCAAACTATTGTATGCACACGCAAAAACTTAAGAGTCTGTGTCACATCATTTTGACTTGACAGTGACAACTGTCACTTGACTTATCTTGCGCCGGCGACCCCGGCTGTCGCCCTTGCCGTTTGACCTTTTAAAAATATACGCCGCGGGTTTGATTCATCTCGGGAATTTTGCCCCTTTTTTGCGATGGTTTTGTGTGCGGCATATCTAAGATTGGATTGTTGAATAAGACGTGTAAATAACATATTGATAATTGTAATTTTGATGAGCACGGGCCCGTTTTGAGTGCATAATTGAATCGCCCACGTGCCGACGTAAAACTTGTGAAATAAGAATCAATTGACTTTATTTTGTACTTATATGAAAGTGAACTGACAATTCAGTGTAAACTTGTGCGAATTTGAGTGCCTACGCCGTATGTCGGCCTTCTAGGCGCATCCTGGAGCATCTTCATCCTGCCACCTTCAGTTGAGTATAATCAGTTAGCATTAGACGTTATGATTGGCCAATTGTAGTTTAATGGTAATTAGATTTATACCTAAGGCAGCATCATTGAAGGAGAAGAACGCAAGGTATCTTTTTTTTGATATGTATAAGCGCTGTGTATCGCAGTCATATGTTCGTCCCCCTTGAACCTGGAGACATTTCACGCTTCCACTCATCACTCTGGTAAAACCCCAGGTCGGACGTAACATCTTTTGGTAGCAGAGCGTGGTTTTGGTTATAGATATTAAATGTATATTGTATACGCTCGCTACTTTGTGTAAAATTAATTACTAGTTATTGTTACTAAGCTACTTAAGATTTCCATTTTATATGAAACAATTCATACTCTTTAAATGTGTATGTGATTATTGTAAAAGCTCAAACATAAAGTTTATTATTAAACTTATATAATTGTTTGTATTAATGATTTTAAAGTTAACTTGTTGATAAAATACTTCAATTTGATTCATACATATGCAGTATTTGGGTTACTTAAAGTAAATTTAGTAATTTGTTACTTTAAACATAGTTTTACAAATTGCAGTATATTAATAATTAAACTTTAAAAGTTTAGTATTTTTTTTTTTTGTTGTACTTGTTGTTGCTCAGTTTATTATAAATTATAATAACTTTATAATAAAAATATAAATAAACTATACTTAAAATAAATATAAATATAAGTAATTTAGATCATAATTTGTTTGAACATTTGCCTCAAGGATTTGTTTTATGTTTTTTTTTGTACTCCTATTTAGGTATATTTTTGAGATTTGATATTTATTTAAATTGATAACACTATTGTCTCATTTGAAAGTTATAACTTTTTTGTTGTTGTTATTACAATATTATTTTGTTTTGTTTGCTTGTGTCCTTGTGTTTTTTGAAGATGGCTGCCGCCGCATTCACTATTGTCCGTGACTCATATTCCGGGATTGTGGCTCACCTGAGATGGTTCACTTCCGCTGCCGCATTGGTGAATAGGGAGGATCGTACAGAGGCATTGTTGGATAGGCATGAGAAATGCCCTACACGACTCAAGGAGGTGGAGGAACATTATCAGCGCTTCATCTCACATTTGGATGATGTACCTCTGGAGTCATTCCCGGAGCATCGGCGGGAACAAGTCCATGAGGACTACACCCAGATTATGAACCTGGCCGACGACATCGCCCAACGCGCGCGAGAGGTTTTAGCCTCGCGTGCCGGAGTACCGCCTCACAGCTCTCCCTTGAAAACTCCCGTGGGCCTTTTGACAAAGCTACCCAATTTAGATCTTCCACGTTTTGATGGTCGGTTAGACACGTGGCTGGGATTCATTGGATTGTTCGAGAGTCTTGTAGATTCCAGGGACGATTTGGGCCCGTCTCAAAAGTTGGCCTATCTGCTCTCTGTGCTCGATGGAGAGGCGAGGGGCTTAGTGCAGCACCTCCCAATACGTGACGGGAGCTATGAAGTCGCGCGATCATTGCTCACCAAGCGCTACCACAATGAGCGCTGCCTGGCCGATGCCCATATCGACCAGATTATGGACCTTCCCGTCGTGAGCAATACCGCCCAGTTGAGGACCGAGCTGCTCAACCCCCTCCTAATAGCCACTAACTCTCTCCACCGCTTGGGACTGCCCGTTGCCCAGTGGTCTTATTTACTGGTGCGTATCGTACTTAAGCGGTTGCCGGTGTCCCTGAGGGCACGTTTTGAACAGGGGCACGCTAGGGATGAGGCTTCTCCTCTCCCTACCTTTGAACAGCTCCTGACCTTCCTGGAGGATGAGTGTCGCATGGGTGACGTTATGGTCACCTCTACACCGGTGGGAGCATCAAGTCCCAGCCCCACCAACCAACGGCGCACTGCTTATACTGCGCCAAGGGGAAAAATGACTTCCCGCTTTGCTGTCGCTCAGGCCGCACGACCGGACTGCCGATTTTGTAAGTCCCAGGGGCACAAAACGGCGAAGTGCCCGGAATTTGCAGCGCTGCATGTGGCCGCTCGTAGGCGGATTGCTCAGGCCCGAGGCTGGTGTTTCTCATGCCTAGGGGACCATTATCAGCGCGCCTGCCCTGACACGCACCCGTGTCCTGTTTGCAGAGGGCAGCACTTGAAACTGCTGTGTGCCAACGCGAATGGCCGCCGCGACCACGCGGGGTCGCGGTATGTGAGCGGACGCCGGGACCAGTCCCGCAGTTTTGAGTCCGGCTCATCCCCCACACGCCGCGCAGATTGCGCTGCCGTTGATCGCCGACATATTTCGGTGCGCAGCCCCACGGGCGGGTATGTGAGCGGACGCCGGGACCAGTCCTGCAGTTGTGAGTCCGGCTCACCCCCCCCTCGCCGCGCAGATTGTGCTGCCGTTGACCGCCGTCATGGTTCGGCGTGCAGCCCCACGGGCGGGTATGTGAGTGGACGCCGGGACCAATCCCGCAGTTTTGAGTCCCGTTCGCCCCCCTTGCCCTCGCGTGACCAATCAAGGTCACCTCAGGTCGTGTACCACGATTATTGTGATGTAAGTCCGGTACGACGGCCATCCCCCCCTCTGGTGGAGCGTCCCCGTTTGGAGTCGCGCAACCCTCGATACGGACGCTCCGGGGGCTATAAACCACCGACTCTGGCTCGTGGCAGTCGTCACCGAGAGGAAGCAGAATTCAAATCCTTCCCTCATTTTGACGCGCCGTTCCGGCACAGCGGCGTTCGATCTCCGCCACGCAATCATTAGGATGTCGACGTCTGCCCCCGCTATGCACCGGCCCCCCTTGAGACCGTCCTCTGGCCCAAGGTCTATGTCAGGATCTGGGGACGGACGGGTGCCTCGGTTGTAGTCCGAGCGATATTGGACACAGGCTCACAAGGTTGCATAGCCTCGTCTTGGTTGGTAGGGCAGACTGGCCAGACTATTAAAAGGTATTCAGATGTAATAAGAGGTGTCGGGAACGCCCCTGTGGCCACGGTTGAGGGCCGCATTTGGTTTGATTCTCCCCCCTCAAATTCTCCACGCCCGACGTTGGGATCGTCCGCCATTGTGATGGAGAATATCCTGGGCAGCCACCCGCAAGTTCGATTGTCTGCGGATGCGGTAAAATTGACCGCTGGTTGAATTTGGCTGACCCTAAACTTGACCTACCTGGCACGGTAGATTTGTTGCTTGGTGCCGATGTTCAGGCAAACGGTAATTCACCCTGATGATCGACGATATCAGTTGATATTGTGGCGGGAAAACCCGAAAGATCCCATGCCTGTTTACGAGCTCAACACCACACATACGGGCTACGGTCTAGCCCCTATTTGACCATACGCTTGCTTTGGGAGCTCGCGGATCGAGAGCGTATGTCGTTTCCTCGCGCACCCGCCATTTTGAAGGAGGACCTATATGTTGATGACATACGCACTGGCGCGTCTACGGAGAGAGAGACTCTCCTTTTGCGTGACGAGTTGATTGGAAAACTAGCCTCCGCAGGATATGAGTTGCGTAAATGGATCTCCAACTTGCCTGCGCTCTTGGATGGGCTACCATGTGACCACCGACCGATGAACCAAAATAGACGAGACAGTACAAAGACTAACGGGAAATCTAATGTTGATTTAAAAATAAATTGATTCAATTAGCCAATTCCCGAACAATCAAGTCAAAATGTCTACAGGTTGCGAGAATTCAGTCGGAATTCTTAAGAGCAGCTTTTCGTTGTCTTCGCTGCGATCTGCGCAGGCACCACCAAGTGGCGCCGGTGACCAGCTCGAGCGGCATTACCACAGCCTTCCTAAAACGGTCAAGGCTTACCTGTGCGTTTTTGTCTGTCTATCCACCAAGGCGGTACATTTGGACCTCGTCTCAGCCCTCTCTACAGAGGCCTTTGTTGCGACGTTAGATAGATTCGTGTCACGACGAGGATTACCCTCCTTGATTCGGTCGGATTGCGGCACCAACTTCAAAGGCACAACCAACTATTTAAAAGATATGTGATTTTTTTTGGAGTCTAACAAGACTGAAATTGCGTCTAGATTAGCTAGTCGCAGAATAACTTGGAAGTTTAGTCCCGCGTCATGTCCCCACTGGGGAGGAATATTTGAAAGCGTGGTAAAGGTTGCCAAGACACATTTGCGACGAGTAATTGGTGAGTCTGTATTGACATTTGAAGAACTCGCAACTGTGTTTTGCGTAATTGAAGCCGTTTTGAATTCACGCCTGTTATGCCCGATCTCTTCAGACCTTAACGTCTTGGAAGCCCTCACACCGGGCCATTTTTTTTTGATTGGACAGCCACTGAACGCCCTGCCGGAAACCCCTTTGTTGATGTGAAACCCAATCGTCTCTCGCGGTTTAAATTGATCCAACAACTCACTCAGAGATTTTGGAAGCGTTGGAATTTAGAATACTTGCACATTCTCCAGCAGCGCGTTAAGTGGACTGAAGGACTGATCCACCTCATGTTGGTGACCTCGTTCTGGTTAAGGACGCTAACTCACCGCCACTGTGTTGGCGCAGAGGGCGCATTCTTAACCTTGTCTTTGGAGCAGATGGAGTGCCCCGTTTTGCTGAGGTCCGTGTGGACGGTTCTGTTCTGAAGAGAGCGGTATCAACCTTGTCATGACTGCCAGTAAATTAGCGGCCAGGTAGTCCTGGCCGAGGCGGGTAGATGTTATAAACCAAACTATTGTATGCACACGCAAAAACTTAAGAGTCTGTGTCACATCATTTTGACTTGACAGTGACAACTGTCACTTGACTTATCTTGCGCCGGCGACCCCGGCTGTCGCCCTTGCCGTTTGACCTTTTAAAAATATACGCCGCGGGTTTGATTCATCTCGGGAATTTTGCCCCTTTTTTGCGATGGTTTTGTGTGCGGCATATCTAAGATTGGATTGTTGAATAAGACGTGTAAATAACATATTGATAATTGTAATTTTGATGAGCACGGGCCCGTTTTGAGTGCATAATTGAATCGCCCACGTGCCGACGTAAAACTTGTGAAATAAGAATCAATTGACTTTATTTTGTACTTATATGAAAGTGAACTGACAATTCAGTGTAAACTTGTGCGAATTTGAGTGCCTACGCCGTATGTCGGCCTTCTAGGCGCATCCTGGAGCATCTTCATCCTGCCACCTTCAGTTGAGTATAATCAGTTAGCATTAGACGTTATGATTGGCCAATTGTAGTTTAATGGTAATTAGATTTATACCTAAGGCAGCATCATTGAAGGAGAAGAACGCAAGGTATCTTTTTTTTGATATGTATAAGCGCTGTGTATCGCAGTCATATGTTCGTCCCCCTTGAACCTGGAGACATTTCACGCTTCCACTCATCACTCTGGTAAAACCCCAGGTCGGACGTAACATATAGACTCGATCTGTGTATTGATAATAATGTTTATTTCAATAAAATTTCCCAAAATATGTCTAATGTACAGATTCGGCTTGGTTACAGTTTTATTACATGTATAGATATGTGTGTTTGTTGTTCTCCAACAAAAATGGTAATATAAGTTTTGTGTGAACCATTTTAACAGACCTCTACAGAGTTAAATGTAAGGAGAATTAGACAATGACCCACCACGCTGACTGCGATTTGGTGGGTTTCACATATCTGACCAGTACGTAGAGTTCAGTTTTTTGAAACAGACAGGGTTTCTCATCATGTTCTTCCTCATATCTTGTTCCTTTTCCTCTATTTAAAAGCCTACTTCCAACGAATTTCTTTTGATGGAATAAATTCAGATACGATTACGGACAGAAATTTTCAGCACTGGCGGTTCACTCTTGATTCGATCGGGTATTCCTCTAGAAAAACAAAAACATCTATCCCACGGGATTCGTACATTTTCCGGGACGAGCTATATTTATTGTAAAGTTTCATTAAAATCCATTCAGTAGTTTTTACGTGAAACATCTATACATCCAGACATCCATACATCCTCACAAACTTTCGCATTTATAATATTAGCAGGATTTTTCGATAGTTTCGGATAGTTACAATGCTAAGGTCACGATTTAGGTATCAAATATCAGGATTTGTTTAGTCTAATGCCCGATTTCACCAACGTCACCTAAGTTTAAGGGATCCCCTAAGCATGGTTAGGGGGCTGCTAGGGAACAGTTTCTGTTTCACCGACAGTTAGGGGTCACCTAAATATTAAAAAGCCCCCTAAATTTAGGTGCTCGAAATACGGGCTTAAAGACGATGGTAAAACGAAATTTTACGACGATTTACGCGAACGCTTGACATTTTAAATAAAATTATAAAAATTTTTAAAGTTAGAAAATATTGTAAGGTACTTTGGTGCCAGTTTTCAATTTTTTGAATTCATTTTGTTATTTGTGGGTAGGCTGTCTATAACAACTATATAATACCTGTGAGACATCGTAACACATCAGTCTCTCCCGTGACCATAATTGGTGTAAAGCATTCGAAACGTCGGGAACCAAAAACCAAAATAAATCCGCGAAATTATACGAAAAGATAGTTATATTCAAATCTACTATGTATTTTGATTTTTTTATAATTTTTATTATACACTTATTATAATAATTATTTCTTTTCTTTAAATCCGTCCCTGTTTTGGAGGAATGTGCACAGGTTTAACAAACGTTGTTTGTACTTTAAACGTCCTGCCTCTTATCTAGATCTCTAGGTACTTGCTTATATGGCTTTTGTTTTTTTATCATAGTTTGTATGGTATGTTTGTATGTATTTATTTGTATGGGATATAATTCTATGGACCATGATGAGACCACCATGAGTCGTTAAATAAAAAAAACGGCCAAATGCGAGTCGGATTGCATCTTAAACTTTATGGTTTATTTCTTTTTCTTTTCTATTTTAATACAAATTTCAATCGCTCTTGCTCTATTCGGAATATCCAAAAATCCTTTTTAACGGGAAATCTTCTTAAATTTTTTTATTATAACACTTATACTTTCTAAAACTTCGTGATTAGTCAATGAATTGTATTTTGCTTTATATATGTACATAATAGCGGCTCACCCTCATTTTTATTTGATAAAAAGTAGCCTATATGCTATGCCGATTATAATCTATCACTGTGCCAAATTTCATCCAGATCGGTTTAGACGTTTTAGCGTGATTGAGTAACAAACATACATCCATCCAAACTTTCCCATTTATATAGTAATAGCGGCTCACCCTCACTTCGCTCGGGTTCGTTACTAGTGAAAAATAAAAACAAATCTATCCCACGGGAATCGTAAATTTTTCAGGGATAAAAAGTAACCTATGTGCTATTTCAGACTATAATCTATCCCTGTGCCAAACATCCAGATCCGTTCTGCCGCTCGGGTGGGATTGAGTAACAAACAATAAACATATCCATCCATCCAAACTTTCATATTTATATAGTAGTAAGATTGTAAGATTTACATATATATAATAAAGTATGTTTTTAAGTATGTACATATATTTAAATAAATTAAAACGGCAAAAAAAAATTGAATTGTTGGAACTTAGCAATTTAGATTTTCTTTGTCAACAGTTGGCGCAAGCCCTCCGCGTGATAAAACTAACTGCACTCGTCGCCTCCTGGCTACTTCTAACCGTGTCGTTACTTCTTAACCGAGAGAAGAACGACGTTGTACTTCACACAGCAATCGATACTGGAGAAATTAAAGGTAAGGCTTAATTAAAGGTAAGACGACAAACAAATTGGCTAAATATATTATGATTAAACTTTTTTGTTTTATAGTCTTTATCAAACACAATTATTTATTACTAGCGAAGGCTTATATTAATTATTACTGGCTTCGCTCGAGGGCGTCCCTAAGTACTCGTATTTTGTTGCGCAAAACCCAATTTTTTACCAAAATAAGAGTATTCTAAGTTATTCCTTATAATATTAGCTATTTGCCAGTGAAAGTGCCGTCAAAATCGGCCTACCATTTCGGAGATTAGCTGGAACAAACAGACAAAAATTTTAAATATTGTTTCTATAAATACCGTATATTATACTTTTATAATACATTATAATGTGTCTGTTTAATGTTAAAATAACAGCTTTTTACTACGCACGTTAAATCTCTAATATATAAATAAAATACCCGAGTAAAGCCGCAGGCAAAAGCATTCGTCTGCAAAAGTCGATGAATCAAATCAACATTTTACCGACTTCAAAGATGTACAAAATATGACTGTAATTTTTTTGATATGTGTTAGTTTTTAATTTTTTAAGTTTATCTTTATACGTGTATTTTCTGAATAAACGCAATTTTTAATTTTTTCTCCGAAAAACGGCGAGTGAAGTTCGATCCACCAAGTACTTTGTTTAAAACATCAATTTTATTTTTTACAGAGTATTTCCTGATATCATCTGAGAATGAGTTCACAGTCTCTATCTCTATGTCTGGACCATTTGCCGACGCCGATATCAATGACACTACCAACTTCCTTCGACTTTGGCTTCATAGGAGTTCTGATGATGAACAGGTATCCTTATATTTAAGTTAGAATTAACTTGTTCTTTTAGTACAACAACTTAACAAACAAACAAGTTATTTCCTATGGACCTGCTCGTTTTAGATAGCTCAGATCGAAATATGTCCAGTGATTTTCTCGTGATGTAGTCACAGATAAACAGACAGACAGACAAAAATTCTAAACAACTATAGATTCGGCCTCTGTATCGATAATAATGACTGTTTCAATAAGATTTTCCAAAAAATATTTAATGTACAGATTCGACTTAGAATTTTATGATATGTATAGATATGTTAAAACTATACTAAACATATAATAATAAAATTCGCAAAGGATAATATCGTTAGAAATTCAAGTATTAATCTTCGCTTAACACTTGGTTGTTATGAGTAAATATTATTTTAATGAAACACACTTGTGATGTTAGAATTAATGCAAACAAAATATATTTAACTATACATATAAAAATAGTAGGGGAGTCTAAAATTATGTTGATTTTATATTAGAAAGATTCTGCTTTCGAGAACAAACGATTCAAAGTGTATGCGACAAACAAATTGGCTAACTATATTATGATAAAACTTTTTTGTTTTACAGTCTTTATCAAATACAATTTAAACGTTGTAAATAAAGGTTTTAATACGTAGTCATATATATATATATATATATATATATATATATATATATATAGTATGTATGTATATATAGTATATATATATATATATATATATATATATATATATAGTATGTTTTGTACATTTTGTAACAGTTAGAAATTATACCAACTCGTGTTTTCCCTGTGTTCGACATTCGATCATGATCATTATTGACAATTTGAGGAAAACATATACATATACAAAAAAGGCAGTGGTAGCCCAGTGATAACGCGCTCGCTTGGGAAACCGAGTAAAGCGGGTTCAAATCCTGGGTCTCGCACCTCTGATATTTTCATGTACGAATCATTTCTAACATGATTACCACTTATCTTACGGTAAAGGAAAATATCGTGAGGAAACCTGCATGTCTGAGAGAACCTAGCAAGTTTTCGTAAGACATGTGAAGTCCACCCGCACTTGGCCAGCGTGGTGGACTATGGCCTGATCCCCCTCGTATTGAAGGGAGGCTTAAATAAAAATAGCTGAATACATATATACATATGAATATAATTTACCTATCTATTTAAAAGGACTGCAAAACTTTTGTTATGATGATTGATTGATAGCACTAAAGCTTTGCAAAAGCTACTAAACAAAAAAAAAGAAAATCGGTTCACAAACAGAGGAGAAGAAGGTACTGGACTGTTTAGATTCTCTCGGGTCAATTTCAGTTCAATGGCTTCGCTCGGGTTCGTCCCTAGGTTGATTCCCCATACAAACTTTCATCCCCATTTTCACCCCCTTAAGGGATGATTTCCGGAATAAAAACTATCTTAGGTTCATTCCAGGGTCGCAAACTATCTTCTTACCAATTTTTATTTAAACCGGTTCGGTAGATCCAGAGATTACCCCCTACAACGTCACAAACTCACAAACTTCTTTATAATATTAGTATAGATTTTAGGCATACATTAATTGAAAAATATATGGCGCCTGACTTTTGTATTTTCGTTTTTGTTTTTTAAAGGTCGTTTTTTGTTATTAAATTTTTAATATGGGTCATTAAATTTTTGTCGTTCTAGTTTTAATATGGAAATTTTATACTGTGCAAATATATATTTTATAATGTGCAAAGTAAAAAAAAAGAAAGAAAAAAAAACAAACATTTAAAAAAAACAATACCATTAAAGCCCTACACTTCATTTTCCCCATACTTCTAAACCCAACTCAGTTGCGCACGCGCAACCTAACTCGCTAGTTTGTCATATACTTAATATGGATCACTCAATAAAATCCTCACGATACACTACACAATATGTAACAAGTAAAGCATTGTAGGCACGTCGTGTTTGTACATTACTGAAATCATAAATATTTATAACGTTACAGTCTGTATGAGTCATGGTCATAGACTATAGTTATATCGTGGTTTTGTTTGCGTTATCTGTGCTAATATTTAATACTGAAGAGTTTGTTTGTTATCTGTTTGAATGCTCTAACCTATGGAACTATCAGTTGTAGTTGCAAAATTCTAAATGCATCTTACCCGTTATTCATTGAGGAAAGTATTTAGACTATCTTGTAAAACAATAATTATTACCACGGGTGATTTGGCATTGCTCGAAATTCGACCATAATCATTTTTTTACACTTCACTTTACGTATTTAATATATGTAGGTCCATAAACTACGTTTTAACGATTAGCTCACAGATGAGATATGTAAGTATCCTATATGTTGACCCGGATAACCAGGTATCATCATACCAAATTTCATCAATATCCCTCCAGTGGTTTTCTCGTGATACGGTAACAGACAGATAGACAGACAAAAATTCTAAAACCTATAGATTCGGACTCTGTATCAATAATAATGTATATTTCAATTAGATTTTCCAAAATATATTTAATGTACAGATTCGACTTAGTTACAATTTTATTATATATATAGATTAAGGTTTTAGTATAATTACTTAATGCTTATGTCACTTTAAATTTTTGTTTCAAATCAATCTTCCGACTAAAGCAAGGATATTGTAAAGACAACACGGAAAATGTACTGCAAAATACGCGTATTACTACAACACGCTATAAATATTTATATGTATGTTTTTGTAAACACTACTATCTTCAGTCGTTTAACGACTGAGCTTATTCTCATGCGATTTTGTAATGCATGTTTCGAACACACTAACAGATTATTGTGACCTTGCCTAGGTTTTTTCTCTCTCTCTCTCTCTCTCTCTCTAGGTTTAAGCGCCTATTGATAAATATTTTTTGAATGAATATGTTTTATTGTATTTAGCCCTTTTTAACGTCCCGTTAAATAAAACATATTTTTTATAAAATTTAGATGTTTGGATGGATGTTTGTTACTTGATCACGCCAGAACGGCTGAACGGATCTAGATGAAAGGCACACAGTGAGAGATAGTTTATAGCCTGGAATAACACATAGACTTTTATCCCGGAAAATATACGGTTCCCGTGGGATAGGTTTGTTTTTAATTTTCACTAGTGACGAACCCGAAGCGAAGCGAGGGTGAGCCGCTAGTTTATAATATGTACCTAATGGTTATGGTTCTCCATATCTTTGGTATAAAAAATATTGCTATGGTTAGCATGTACGGCAGCAGTATTGGAGGTCCTGGGCTCGAGTCCCACTGGGTCAAGTGGGGCTATCGAGTTTTTCTGTTAAGACATTCTTAATAGCAGACGTAACCTCATGCTGCGATCCTTAGGAGCGGAGCATTCAAACATAAAGAAACCATAAATACTTTCTTAGATTTACGTGAATATTTGACATCTATACATATAATAAAATTCTAACTAAGTTGAATCTGTACATTAAATATTTTTTGGAAAATCTTATTGAAATAGTCATTATTATCGATATAGAAGCAGAATCTATAGTTTTTAGAATTTTTGTCTGCCTGTCTGTCTGTTACCGCATCACAGAAAAACCACTGGAGGGATTTTGATGAAATTTGGTATGGTGATAGCTGGTTATCCGGGTCAACTAATATACCTACTAATACAGGATACTTTTTACCGCGGGAAAATATCTCATCTTTGAGAAAAATACGAAAACTGCAATGTAAGAGTAAAACCTAAGAATTTGGTTCTTGGTCATCTGAACGCGGGCGGAGCCGCGGGCAATGCTATTTTTACAATAAAATGCGAGTGACGCAAGTATTTTTATTTACAATGTAATTGTTTATAATTTCATAGTAATTTTAAAATGTACCTATTACGTTTTAATCAATTTTTTTTGCAATTATATCAATTTTTTAGGACTCAACTCCATGGACCATCTCCCTACAGCCTGATGACGTCATCGACTTCTCCCCCAGCGGAGCAGAGTCTAAAACTTTATTTCTACAGAAACAGTCTTTAAGCTCACAAGTTATCAAAAATACAACTGGTGTCAACTCAACAAGTAGTTCTGATTTCACAGAAAATAAAAATGGTAAGAGATTTTTTTATTTGATGGCACATTAACACACAGCACCATCTAGTTCCATGGTAAGCTACGAGGCTTGTGTTATGGATACCAGATAGTTGATACACTTTTTTTATAATTATTTTACGTGTTTATCAACTTGGAATTTGACAACACGTTTGGCTCAGTTGGTAGTGACCCTACTTGCTGTGCCAGCGGTCGCGGATTCGAGTCCCGCTGGGGGTATTCATTTGTGTGATGAGCACGAATGTTTGTACTCCAGTCGTGGGTGTTAATATTTATAATATGTATGTATTTAAAATTATATATATGTAGTGTATCAACTATCTGGTATCCATAACACAAGTCTCGTAGCTTACCATGGAACTAGATGGCGCTGTGTGTTAATGCCCCATCAAATAAAAAAATCTCTTACCATTAGCGAGTACAAATAAACAAAAAGCTAATAATTATATATTTATTCTTACAGATAGCTCTATATATCTTCGTATGGACACTACAAGTAACAAAACCGTGCCACTAACAGTCAGCTACCAGCTCGACCCACTTTCCGAAGAAGATGGGATAATTTATGCGGTCATTCTGCTATGCATTTTATACATTTTGATTATATTCGAAGTAAGTATTGATTATAATAATAAATACCTGTGCTTTGTGTATGCGATCCTGCGACGCCCCATTTAGACGGGAGAGGTTAGTGGAGATGGAAAAGTTGCCCCGAAAATTGGGACATTTGAGAAAAAGTAAAAGTGCCTTTTTTATTGGATTTTTGCATGGTCACAAAGATCTCCAACAAACATGAAATTTAGATAGAACAAAGTCTGTTATGTCGTCTAAACGAATTTATATTAGAAACCATATAATTTTATTAATAAACATCAAATATGAATAGTTAAAAACGTTCCAGTAAATACATCAACCCAACATCATATCCATATTTTTAGATAGTGAACAGGACAATAGCTGCACTCCTCTCCTCATCCCTTGGACTGGCAGTTCTTTCACTAAGTGGAGCCAGACCCTCCCTGCCTGAGCTGGTATCCTGGCTGGATGTGGAAACCCTGCTGCTACTCTTCAGCATGATGATCCTTGTTGCTATACTGGCGGAAACTGGCCTATTTGATTATTTAGCGGTCGTGGCTTTTGAGGTACGGTCTTTAGCTTTATTTCTTTCTGCATTAATACGTATATAAAAATTGTATATTTTCTGAACGGCTTACCACTGCTAAAATGTCACCCTACACCACTGGTACATACACCCTTTCGCGGCCTTCAACTATAGTTCCACAGAATATATACTCGTACAACTTCTTAATTTTAATAACTTTTAAGAAGTTATTAAAATAGATATATTATATACCTTTAAACATATCAATTTTGTCCACCAATCCGCACTTGGCCACCGCGGTGGACTATGGCCTGATCTCGTATTGAAAGGAGGCCCACCCCCAGCAGTGGGACGTTTAAAAGGGGATAATTTTCTTTTATTTTTTCAGGTCACAGGAGGTAGAACGTGGCCTCTCATCAACACGCTATGTTTCTTTACGGCAATATTTTCAACTTTCTTAGACAATGTTACTACGGTCCTTCTAATGACACCGGTTACTATACGGTAAATATATATTTTTTAAATATAATTCAGCTATTTTCATGTACTGTTTAGATAACAGGCGTATAGCCGTACCTGCGCCTTCACCAGCGTTCAAACTTTCGACCGCTACCAAACTTCACAGGATCACCCGCTGGGCTAATCTGATGATTGCTTGAAAATTTCATCATAGTCGCTCCAGCCGTTTTCAAGTCCATATACATACGAGAGATGAAGGATTTGGCCGACGTTATTTTTTTCGAAATAAATGTGCAGAATCGACATGACACGTGCTATCAAGTTACGGAGGTGAAGCACATCCAACTGCCCAGTTCCTAACGGTTGTTTGCAGCCGTACTTGTTTGCCAATAGACCAACACAGTAAAAACTTGCTATGTATAGACTTATACTAAACTTATTATAATATGATATTACAGATTATGCGAAGTGATGCAACTAAATCCTGTGCCGGTTTTGATGTCGATGGTGATATTCAGTAACGTGGGGGGAGCGGCGACCCCCGTGGGGGATCCCCCTAACGTTATCATTGCTAGTCATCCCTCAATTTTACATGCCGTAAGTATGTAATTGGTGTATGTTAGTTACTCCTTCACGCTGAAACGGCTGGACGGATTTGGATGAAATTTAGTACACAGATAGATTATGAGCTGGAGTAACATATATAGGTTAATGTTAAGAAAAAAATAAAGTAAAAAACTTTGAGGTGGTGCTACTAATTATATAATATTATAAATCCAAATAATTTAAATGAAAATATTTTTCTTTCAGAATATAAACTTCACGTCGTTCACTCTCCACATGGGTTTGGGTATTTTGTTAGTTTGCGTACAGACGTACATACAACTAAGATTTATGTTTCGAGATATGAACAAATTGAGGCATAGCGTTCCCAGAGATATTGTTGGTAAGTACCCATACTTTATATGTAAAAGTTAATAAAAAAAAATATTGAGACGTTACGAAAAATTTGATGAAAAGGGGTCTCTGACCTAGTCTCTCCCATGACCATGTTCAAGATATTGGAAATAGGGAACAAAAAAATAAAATTGAAATAAAATTGGGAAAAAATTAAGAAAAAGTTAAAAAACATTGTAATATAATTGGTGCAATTTTCATTTTGTTAATTGTGGGTAGGCTGTCTGTAACAACTATACCTCCAAGACATGTAACACCTCAGTCTCTCCCGTGACCATGGATGCTGTAAAGCATTCGAAACGTCGGGAACCAAAAATCAAAATAAATTCGCGAAAAAATCCGAAAAGATAGTTTTATTTAAAATGTCAAGTATTCGCGTAAATCTAAGAAAGTAAAAATAGTTTTATTAAAAGTCAATCAAAAAGTTGAAATTATTCTGAGTATGAAATTGACCAGTTATTTCTATGTTTTATGATTTTAGAGATGCGTCAAGAGATAGGGGTTTGGAAGAGAGCAGCAGCATCCCTCTCATCTTACTCCCGAGATGAAGATATAGTGCGGCGGGCGTTGGAAAAGAAGGTATAATGTAAATTTAAGCTTTATATTGAAATATAGTGGGTAGTACAAAGTTATAAATGAACACTAAAAAGAATATCGTAAGTGAGTAAATACATTTGCAATTCTGGCAACACTGGCACTTGTTGATTGTTTTAATATTCTTCCGACATTAATTAATAATAAATAATAAATAAATATGTTGGAACATTTACACACAGCACCATCTAGTTCCATGGTAAGCTACGAGGCTTGTGTCATGGATACCAGATAGTTGATACACTACACATACTATATAACTTTTAAATACATACATATTATAAATATCCATGACTGGAGAACAAACATTCGTGCTCATCACACACATGAATGCTCCCAGCGGGACTCGATCCTGCAACCGCTGCCACAGCAAGTAGGGTCTCTACAAACTGAGCCAAACGTGTCTTAAAACCCAAAAAAATATTATTTTTCAGGTACAAAGATTGCAAACTACACTTCTGAAACGCGAGGCCGGAAATGGAAAATCGAAAACCGATCCACTGTTCTGTTCGACATTGGCCCAAATGAAACAAAAGGTACTTACTTCTACTTTTTACACGTCTTTAAAAATAAACTGAAGTTAAATATTGGAATTTAGCTTTTCTATAAATGTTATATCGAAAAAATTTTGCCTTTTGAAATCCAGATGACAATCTGTAGTTTTAGGCAGAAGTTTGCCAACTTTGGTCGAAAAATTAAAAAATCTAGATCTTTATATAGTGCCACCTATCGGGTACAACTATGGCTAAGAATTATCCAGGTCGCCCTATAAGTACACAAAAAAATTCATCAAATGACTGGTTTTGATGCAGTAGTTTAGGTGGAAAAGAATTAGGAACTTTTCAGTAGGTTATCATTTATAATCGATTGGCGACAACTTGCGTTATTTCAGAAAAAAAACCTATCTAAATACAAAATTTGATACAAATCGTGATAACCGTTTTCGAGATACACGAAATTAATTTATATATATATATACAAGAATTGATCATTTAATATTATAAGATTTTTTGTTACAGTACCAAATAAGAGATAAACAATTGTTAATAAAATCTACAATCTGCGTCGCTTTTGTGGTGATAGTTTTCTTCCTCCACGCCATTCCTGAATTACGTAAGTAATAAGTATTAAGTGCTATTATCTATACAGATAAATAAAATTGAAGTGTCTGTTTGTAATGTCAAAACAACAGCGTTTTACTAAATGCATATGAAATTATATACGGTACTTATAAGAAAAACACAATTTTTAAATTTTTTGTCTATCTGTTTGTTCCGGACAATCTCTAAAACGGTTGGACTGATTTTGACGGCCCTTTCACTGGAAGATAGCTGATGTTATAGGGAGTAACATAGGCTACTTTTATTTTAGAAAAAGAATTAGGGTTCCTCTCAAAAAAATTAAAACGTACCTAGGCACGAACCCGAGCGTAGCGAGGGTGAGTCGCTAGTTTTGTAATACTTTCTAAGATTAACGCGAATATTTGACATTTTAAATAAAACTATTTTAATTTTTGGTTCCCGACGTTTCGAATGCTTTACACCAACCAAATTGTCGGGTCAGATTAAGGTTATTATTTTTATAGAATCCCATTAATTTCTCAACCAAGAGAAAGGAAAAGGAGAAAATATCGACAGAAAAAAAGATAGCAATATGTAATCAATAAAAGTGGGAGTACGTTGGATGCAAGCAGCATACTAAAAAGTTTGAAAGGTCTTCGACTGGTGACTTTTGCCAAAAATAGAATTAGTTAATTTAGGAAACCGTGTAGAAAAATGTTTTGTAGTAGAATTAGTAGTTTTGAAATAGGTATCTCCTATATTGGAGCTGGTATTCAATAAAAAAATACCCGTGATCATAACATGATGTTAGATAGCCTTTCTCAATGAATATGCCGTAAAGTGCAAAAATAAGTTTTTAAATCGAAATGGTAATTTCAGAGATTAGCGCTTTCAAATAAACAAACAACACCACCACCAATTTTTCATCGTTAAGTATTACAAGAGATAGATACATATGTTAAAATCTACTTATTTATACTTATCAATATCCACCTTTGATTACTCTCCCCCCCCCCCCCCCCCCCTCCCCCCCTCTCTCTCTCTCTCTCTCTCTCTCTCTCTCTCTATCTACTCTTTCTCTCTTTCTCACGTTAAGAATATTTCTTACAGAAAGCTTGTCCCTGGGTTGGACAGCTCTGCTGGGTGCTTTACTTCTCCTACTGCTAGCAGAGAGAGATGACCTGGAGCCGGTTTTGGCAAGAGTAGAGTGGTCCACTCTACTCTTCTTCGCGGCTTTATTCGTTTTGATGGAGGTATGTTATTTCTTGTACCTACCTCATAGGAACAATCATGTATAGTATATCATATCACGATGGTCCTATGTCTGAACTCTCACCGGTCGTGTATCGTGTTGTCCCACCGGAGTATGAGAGTGACAGGATAGAGAGTGCACTTGTATCTGTAACCTAACCTCAGTGAGATTGGCCGAAATCGGTCAGGAGGATATTTTTTCGTTATTAATATAATATACTACTTTTATTATTTTCAGGTGCTATCAAAACTTGGTCTCATCGCTTGGATTGGCAACCTCACTGAATCTCTCATACTGAAAGTTGGAGAAGAATCCAGACTTACTGTTGCACTTATGCTTATTTTATGGGTAAATATTTTACTGTCTAAAATATTATTTAACTTCAAAAAATTTGAAATGAAAATTCTTGGGGGTATATTTTGTGTTATTTTTTTTATCCCTTCTACATGATACATTTCATTTACTCCATTATCGATATGTAAAAAGAAGATAGAAAAGTAAATAGCTTTTATTAGTCATTTTTTACTTTAAAACAAAAAATAGAAATAGAACATAGTGAAATCATCTGTGAGTCCATCTATCACTGTGCTATAGCCTATATCCATTCTAACCTACTCTTTTCTTTCCGTAATTGTTGAATTACGTAAAGTTTTAAAACTTATATAGGGTACTAGCAGTAACTGCGACTCCGTCCGCGTTCAAACTCCCTATCGCTATCAAACTTCACAAGATCACCCGCTGAGCCAATCTGATGATGTTTTGAAAATTTCATCAAAATCGATCCAGCCGTTTTCAAGTCCATAGCGAACAAATATAATAGTCAAATTAATTAACTTTCTGTTACACAGGTGTCAGGTCTAGCCTCAGCATTCGTAGATAACATTCCGCTAACAACGATGATGGTGAGAGTGGTGGGAGCGTTGGCAAGTTCTCTAGGGCTTCCGCTACCACCACTCGCGTGGGCTTTGAGCTTTGGTGCTTGTCTTGGTGGTATGTATCTTACTTTTTGCCTTTGAATAATAAGATATATATTATGGATGTACTCAATTTATTTACTATATAGGAAATAACTTGAGTTTTATTTAGAACTGGAGCATTTCTTTTCTAAACAAGTAGACATTATAAATAAAATATAATAATTTGAGATTATAAAAGTTTTAAATATATAACTAGTTATTAATTATAAAAATTATATCCTAAATCTATATATTTTTGCTTAACTTTGAAAATATTGTTACAGGTAACGGTACTTTAATAGGGGCAAGCGCAAACGTAGTGTGCGCAGGAGTAGCAGAACAGCACGGCTATAGATTCACTTTCATGCAATTTTTAAAAATCGGTTTTCCAATCATGATTGGCAATCTAATTGTCGCTTCCATATATTTATTGTTCTGTCACAGCCTTTTGGCTTGGCATTGACATTTATTGCTTATTTGGCTTGATTTAACAGTTATGCCAAAATGTGCCAAGTTACGAAAATACAATACAGTTTTAAAAATGTTTCGTGTACTAAATAATATATTAAATGTGCATGCATTGCAATGCATTTTTTTTAATATAAGAACATATAGAAAATCTTCATTCATAGATTCGGATAAACGTATGAAAAGTTTTTTTTTTTGTTTAATGGCAAAGTTTTCACAATTTATTTTAAGTATTTTTTAGAATAATACGTAGTAGTAATATTATATTAGACTTTAAAATTCTATTTACAAATATAATATACCTATTTAAATGTTAAATAAATTACGTTTTTCAATGAGTTGAAATAATTTGTTATCTGTAGTGGCCATGTTTGTTCTAAAATGGCGCCATTATTGAATAACTATATTATTGTGATCAATAACATTCCTTTTAGAAGTTTAACATATTTTAATGTTTATAAAAATACAAAACTATTTTTAAGATCCCCCTGCCGCCTTTAGAAATACTTAAACATTGAAGTCAATTTTATGCTACTATTACTATCATTCTATTATCTTTATTAATTGCCTCGGTGGTGTAGTGGCTAGCATGTACGGTTGCATACCCGGAGGTCCTGGGTTCGAATCCCGGGTCGGGCCAAGTTTAGTTATTGAGTCTTTCTGTATAGTAAGCCTCAGTAACAGCCCGGAGTTGGGAAGTTGGCGGTGTTTCACCCCCGTGCCTCGGAGAGCACGTAAAGCCGTCGGTCCTGCGCCGACACTCTCACCGCGAGTGTCTCGTATCGTCCCACCGGAGTATGAGAGTGACAGGGACAGAGAGTGCCCTTGTGTCTGCGCTCTCCCTCACACGCGCTGCACTATAATATCTCCTGCAGTTGGCTAGTCTCAATGAGATTGGCCGCCGTGGCCGGAATCATCATCATTATCTTTATTTACTCTATCATAAATAAACTGTTTGTTTGTTCTTTCATAAACTTATATTATAAGAATTATTGTAATAAAGTAAATTAATGGCAGACATAAGCAGAGCTACAGGCGAAAACTAGTTATTTAGTATATGTTTGTTAAAAAATGTTTCCTTTGATTTCGTCCTATCAAAGGAGTTTTGATGTTTGCTAAATTAATTTTAGTTATCGTTTTTATGAATTGAGCATTGTTGGATGAAATATAATTATTTTTAATTAAGTAGGCTTTTCATTTGTTCACCTAATATTTATATGACCGGATTTTAAAAAATCAAAGATTTTTTCGAGTATGTTTTTATATGGTGATAAACTGAGTCTTCATCATTTTTGTTTTAATAAAAGTACCCTAAGTACTCCTTATAACATCAACTACTTGCCAGTGAAAGTCTCGTCATATTCGGTTCAGCCGTTTCGGAGATTAGCCGGAACAAACAAAATTTAAAAATTGTGTTTTTCTTATGAATACCCTATACATGTAATTCCATAATAATGCATTTAGTAAAAAGCTATTATTTTGACATCACAAACTGACACTTCAATTTTTTTTATCTGTATATAGAAATATTCTTTTGAATATAATATGTAAATAATGTACATTAATCTTTGTATGTATGTATATGTTAAGGAAGAACATTAAAGAAAAGTAACTAATTTTAACATAAATATTTATTTATATCAACATTTCCTGTAACATATCACAATAATTACCACGTAATACATTATTAAAATATATACAAGAGATGCTTAACTGAAAAAAAAACATACCTTTCTATAGACATATAGAGGTGAATAAAGAAATAAAACTGCATTTGTTACTTGAAAGTAAAATAAAAAAAAAACATAAGAAAAATTATTCGAAAAAAAATTAAACTTATTTCTCTTATAATTCGTATCGCGAATTAGTTGAAAATTGATAGTGTAAAGGTGACCTTAGATGGTTTTGTTACATTTAGAAAATATGAAAACGTATTGTTGATTCATATGTAATATATTAAGCCTGTTTCCTTCTAAATTTTGAGTTAAGCCACTTTTACACTGAAATAAACAACTACAAATATTTGTAAAATAAATTCAATAAAGAAATATCATTACATTGTTATATGTATACAATAACTCTTAAAATGTAGACAGTGAATGTTTTTTTTTTGTATCAGTTACATTAAACTATATTTATAGTCTAGGGGAAATAAGTATATTGTAAGATAAAAAAAAACTTAAATTCGGACATATCGCCCAATCTCACTGAGATCAGTGTATTCGCTATTCATTTCACTCCCAAACTCTTATCAAATTGATATGATATCACTGAGAATTTCTGGACAGAAATACCTAATAAATATACTTATCCAGCAGTGAAGCAATCATGGTCATACCTAAGTGTCCTCATGTCACTGATAATAATTATATATATATATATATATATATATATATATATATATATATATATACTAAGAATTATATATATAAAGATATATAATAGTATAACAATGAATATTTTTATAACTTTGTATCAAGAAACTTGTTCAAAGTTTTAGCCTATTTTGAGATTTTTATAATTTTGAAATTTTGATATTTGCTTATGATATTTAGAAGTCTGCATATCTACAAATAGTTTAAGTTATATGTAAGTACACTTCAAAAGCAGTCTATGGCCTAAAAATTCAATATACAAATACAATTATTGTAGTTTTAAATAATTTATGCGAGGCACTTCCATATAAATAATTTTACTATATTAGGAATGCTTTTTGTATCTAATACTATAATTCGCAAAATTGGTTGTTTTTTTTTTTAAATAAAAGGAATACTCTCAGGAACTATTATTCCAAATATCCAAAAACGTCATGTTTTACGTTATTTTTTTTATAACTGTGACCTATTTTTTTTTTCTTGCAAACTTACTTAAAAGAGGGGATTCTGGTAAGAATTAACTTATTATGCCAGTACTGGCTTCTTAATGGCATTAAATGGCAGTTGAGTTACTGGTTCTAAAGTGTTAGGATACTTTCATTTACAATAGAACGGGTTGTATTTCAAGTTGATAATCTATGATAGATAGTCCCTTTGTAACTCCTATAATAACTTAGATATTCCATACAAAAGTGACCTAAATCAAAAAAAAAAATTATAATATTTTTATATATTACTTGCGTTGTTTTATATATATTAAATATTTATTTGACATATTTAAATGTAATTATAATTTTTAGCTTTTTAAGGCGTTTTATTCAAAGATATTTTTTTTTATTAATACCAGTCGTCTACCAAATACTACTAAAGTAGTACCAAATTTCATCCAAACTCATTTCGCCATTTAGCGTGAAAGACTAACGAACATACACATACAAACATAAATTTTCGTACTTATAATACTGCGTGTGTGTATGAATATTAAAGGTTATAATAATCGAGAAATGTGAGTTAGGCCACTTTTGTACAGACGTTCAAATGGTATTTTAGCACCTTAAATGCACCTATTAATTGCACTGATATAATTTATTAAATTTAAACATACAACACCTAAACTAAAGGGCACTATTGGTCTAACGAATAGATTGACAAGTCGATTTTTTATAGTAATATAAAGTCATTATAGTGTCTTCTGTTATTACGTATTCAAGTAACTTCTTATTGTTTTATTTATTTCAAGTAAAGTATGAACAGTAATTATATACAACATACTTTACATTTATTTTCTCAAAATATAAAAAAAACAAGTTTTCTTTTCAAAACGTATTAAAAAAATAATAAATGCTAAAAAATTACCTGTCAGTTTATTCATACAGTGTAAAAATAAATATAATAACGTGTACATTTAGCTATTTTTTTCATTAATTGCTCTACAATTGACATGTTAGAATTAACGTTATATATTAGGGTGGAGCGAAAAAATATTTTTTTTCTTAGCTTGAGGGTAGAATTTGTAGCTTATAAAAAGACATAATTATTGAAATGAAAAAAATATTCACCATTTTGAGGTGGCTTACTAATTTTTAAAATAATTAATTTATATATATATATGTATTTTATTTCAAAAAAAAATGTTTTTACATAAGCTACAAATTCTACTCCCAAGCTAAAAAAAAATAACACATTTTTTTCCGCTTTACCTTATTATATATAATTTTAACATTTTTAATATTCTTAAAAAGACAGCATAACATATTTTAAATATGGTCCTTCGAGTCGGATATAATTAAGTACGAAAAAATGTCCATTGTAAAAGTATCTTTGATACAATAATAATAATCGCAATAATTTATAAAATACAATCAAAATATTTGCGTGCAGGTCATTGCTGGAAAAATAATAATTTCAAATTATTAAGTCTTTTTTTTTGGTAACATTTAAGTACAGTATATTCTCTCCAATATAAAAAAAATAACATAAGTACGTTTGTTTCTGTTTAAGCACCAGTTTTAGGAATTCTTCTTAGCCAACATTCTTTTGTAACTCTGAAAAGAATAAAGAAAATTTAAGAAACTTAATAGTGTCTTTTTTGTTTAAAATGACAATCTTTTAAGTCGTACGTCACAAATTCGATTCTTACAATTGGATCTATTTGTGCGATTTATATATAGATTTCTAATTAAGTGATGTGAAATTTGAATATATTTATTTAGCTCTTTCTCAAGACTTAATACGAAAAGAAAATTGAATTCTATGCCAAATATTTTTAATCGTATTCTGACTAAGAATATCTAGAATATAAAAATACTTTATATACAGACACTTAAGTTGAATCTTTCGCAGGTTAGTTTATTTTCATAAAAAAATAAAAACAATTGACACATAAGGTCCTTCGAGCCGGATAAAAATTAAACACAAAAATAAATATATTAAAGTTATTTTTTATTATAATAACTCTCTCAAACTCACCTCCTCAGCCATAGAGTACAGCAGTCTGGCCGTTTCAGCGCCAGTCTGTTCCACTAACGTCTTGAAGATACCGCCTTCTATTTCACTTACTTCCGATCTGTTGAACAACGTATAATCGTAACTAATGTTATGTGGATGTGGTTGTGTGTGTGTGTTACTCCTACGCTCTGAAACGGCTGGATGAATTTGGATGAGATTTAGCACATAGATAGATTATGATCTGGAGTAGCACATATGCTACTCTTAGGCGCCTAAGAACGTACCTGACCTACGTTACCCTGGAGCAAGGCTTAGCCACTGTGTTTATAACATACTAGCGACTCACCTTCGCTTCCCTCGCGTTCGTTTCTAGGTCCCTATACAAACGTTCATCACCATTTTCACTCAATTAAGGTATGATTTCCGGTATAAAAACTATCCTATGTCCTTCCCGGGATCTCAAACTATCTTCTTACCAAATTTCATCTAAATCGGTTCAGTAAATCAGAGATTACCCCCTACAACGTCACAAACTCAGAATCTCACAAACTCACAAACTTTACCTCTTTATAATATTATAGTATAGATTCCGGAACGGTGAATATATTGGATTATCACATAGGCTTTTTCACATTTACATACATACTCTCTAAGGCCTCAATGCTTATTTGCTCAAACCACCAATACTTGTTGCACTTTATAGTATAGAGTTTTTCGTCCATTTAAAAAAGCCTTAATTTCTTAGATTCATATACATATATATTCGTATATAGATAAAAAATATTAATTCAGTGTTTTTTGAAGTACAACGTATATTTTATTCAAAAAAATGACATTTAAAGGTCAACTTTTCTATATATAAAAGCTCTTTCGATAAATTGATTGTTTGAATAAATAAGTATCGAGACAACGATTTATGCCATGATGAATGTAATATAGCTCACCTATTTGAATAAGTTCTAATTCTGTCCCTCGGCACGAACGTGTCGGGTTCTTCGTGGCGAGACTCGAACGTAAAGTTTTCTGGTATCGCTAAAGGTGCCTAAAACGAAATAAATAAATAGTTATATAATATAAGCAAATTAGAAAAAAATGGGATTTTTTTTTAATCGTATTAAAATAATTAAATTTAATTAATTTTAATTAAAAACACCATGTATTATATGGAGTATAGCATTACTTTTTAAAATAGATTAACTTTAATAGAAATAAAAGATTAACATAATTTGCAAAATTTATGAAATAACATTAAATGCAAAATAAACACAACCCCGATTAATCACCTCAAAACAAAAAATCAAACCTTTTTCCTAAAAAAAAAATAAAAAAAAAACAGAAAATTTAAATAAAGATTGTGTCATAGACTTACCTGAGTTTTCGTAAGGAGAGGTCTTCTATTCTCTGCTCTTTGATCTAACTTGGTCTGAGCTGCTGTTAGCAGCTCGAAGGGATGTCCGGATTCTACCACACGACCCCTTTTATGAAAAAAAAAATATATTATCTATACATCCATCCTAATCTTATAAATGTGAATGTATGTTAATTTGTTTGTCTGTTTGTCCTTCTGTCACGTCGAAATGGAGTGACGGATTGACGTGATTTTTGTGTGGAGATAGTTGAAGGGCTGGAGAGTGACATAGGCTACTTTTTACTGCGGCAGATTATATCTATCGTTCCCACGGGAGAACACGTTACAATACAACCCACAACAACTCATCATACCTTTTTTGTATATATAATATATAAGTCTATCTATTCCATACTAACCGTTAAAACGTACCGCTAGTAAAATATGTATATAACCAATGCAATGTTTGTCACATAATAATAATTATGTCCTCTTATCCACTATCTCTCTCTCTCTCTCTCTTGATTCCTTTGCCCAACCTGGGACTCGAGCCCAGAACTAACCAAGCTGCGGATAGCATGCTAGCCACTAAATGTAGCTTGTAAGTCTATTTGGATAAAGTACGATTTGATTTGAGAGGAAGCTACTACCAGCTTATCAATACGGATAAATAAAATTGATGTGTGTATATAATGTCAATATAACAGCTTTTTACTAAATCCATATGAAATTACTTACCTACTACGGTACTTGTAAGATTAAAACAATTTATAAAAATTTGGCGCTCTGTTTGTTCCGGTTAATCTCCGAAAAGGCTGGACTGATTTTCTAGGGACTTTCACTGACAGATGGCTGATGTTAGAAGGAGTGACTTGGGCTACTTTTATTTTGGAAAAAGAATTAGGGTTCCGCGCAAAATCTTATAACCCATGATATTGCAAAGAAAATTATAATCCTATATAGTTTGACGACACGTTTGGCTCAATTCGTAGTGACTCTAAGATTAATAAAATTATATATGTACATATATGTAGTGTATCAACTATTTGGTATCCATAACACAAGCCTCGTAGCTTACCATGGAACTAGATGGTGCTGTGTGTTAATGTTCCAACATTTTTTTTCTAATATAGCATGTAGCACTCACTTGTCCATAACGATGACCCGATCGTAGTCCATGACGGTGTTGAGTCTGTGCGCGATCGTCAACACCGTGGAGTCTGCGAACTTCGTCCGTATCGTGTTCTGAATATGTTTGTCTGTCCTACGATAACAACGAAAATATTTAATTTAATGTTATATTAGATTGTTATAATCTGTAAATGTTATAATTATTCTTCTAGTATATTAGTCTTTAGTATATAGGTAAAGTCAAAATGTCTACTCATATTAGCATTAGAAATATAATTATTGTATTTCAAATTCTCTACTACTACCATCAGTTCCGAAAAAAAACCTCAATCTTTCAGAAGAACTGCCAAAGGAAAGTTAGTGAGTCTACATTTAGAACTTTTTTGTTACTTTGATATTTTTCAAAAAAAAAAATACAAATTTTGTCTAACGATCGAACACAGACGCGATCGCATCACTTCCAATATGTGCTTTCGTCTAAAAAAATTCGAATTATTATTCAATAGACTTCAATATACAACTGCTGTTAAACATTTATTATAAAAACATATTCATCATCCTTAAAAGAACTTACTGACACTAACAACTAATCAACTCGCATATAATCAAGAATATATAACCAAAACAACTCGTCTACTACTACTCAATTCCCAGTCTACCGGTCTACTCATAGTCTACTGGTCTACTACCGGTCTACTCCCACTCACTCAGTATCTTACTATATAACCAAAAAACTCATCTACGACTACTCAATTCCCAGTCTACTGGCCTACTCGTAGTCTACTGGTCTACTCCCGGTCTACGCCCACTCAATCAGTATCCTACGATATAACCAAAACAACTTATCTTCTACTACTTAACTCCCAGTCTACTGGTCAACTCACTCAGTATCCACATTAGCAGTAGCCTCGTCCAGCACGAGCACGGCGCGGCGCGCGAGCACGGCTCGAGCAAGACACAGCAGCTGCCTTTGCCCACTGGACCAGTTACCTCCTCCGTCACCGACTTTCGAGGATAGTCCTGCTGCTAACGATTCTATTGTTTTATTGAGTTCCACCTGGAAATTATAAATACAAAGTTATAATATTTAGCCCTTTTAACGTCCCACTGCTGGGCGTGGGCCTCTCTTCAATACGAGAGGGGTCAGGACATAGTCCACCACGCTGGCCAAGTGCGGGCGGACTGAGCATGTCCTGAGCATGCCATGGCATGAGGTTTCCTTATGATGTTTTCCTTCACGGTTAGATATATAATTTATAATTATATGTAATGTATAATGATAATTAAACAAATTCTCCCGTGACCATGATTGTTGTAAAATATTCGAAACGTCGAGATCCAAAATCCGCAAAAAAAACCCGAAATGATAATTGATGTCATAATTGGACCGTGTTGTGTCGAAACATACGTCACATTGGACATTACTTAAAGTAATTCTTTGAAAGGTATTGTGTAACAATGGCGTGAAGTTGTTTTAGTAATTATAATTTAGTCCTGAGCTTTTCAACAGATATATATGTTTTTAACGCAGGCAAAACTTAGAGGAAATACTATTAGGAAACAAATAGTTTAAGCCCATATACGTGATAGATAATATTTTCTCCTTCATTATACGATCAAATATCGCCCCACACTTAACTCCTAAAATCATTTCTGGGACGCATTTTGCTCTACACTTATTTCGATCAAGGCTATCTTACAATTAAATTCAACCCAATCCTACACTCCCCTTCTGCAAAGCACCATATATCAACCCATCACTATACATTTCCTTGAGATCTAAGTTATCCCACCGTCCTATCCCACACTTATTTAGAACAAGGCTTATACCACAATCTAATCCCACACTCACCTCCTGCAAAGCAGCATGTATCTGCGCGTCACTGTACATTCCCTCGGGATCGAGGTTATCCCGCAGAGAGGATGCAAATAGCGCAGGACGCTGAGGCAAAGCGCAGAGACGAGAGCGCCATCTTCTTAGACCAGCTTGATCTGCTGTTACACCGTCTACTGTCACACGTCCGGAGATCTTACTTAGTCTGAAAGGATCATTTTTTTGGATAAAAAAGCTGTACATAATGTCTCCTTCACCAATTTCGGTCATGGCGATCCAATCTTAGAGTGGGTTAGATGTTATAGTGCACAAGTGTCCAATAGAACGATACTTCGACACTCGCGGTGAGAATGAATGTGAAGTATCGACGCGACACGTGTTCTGCCAAACTTCTCAACTCCCGACTCTTACTGATTTTTTAAAAGCTAATATATATTTGTCCTACCCGGGATCTGAACTCAGGACATCCGAATTTGCGGCTATCATGCTCATATACAATACTCACCAATAAATAAATCGAGCTTCAGAAAGAGAAGGTGAGTTAGGGCTTAGATAATTGTCTCTGTCACACTTATCTTAGTATAATAAAATTACGTTAATATTATAATTATTGCAAAATTTGAGAGCTTGTCACTTTTACACGTTTTATTTCGCGTGAAATTCAAATCAATTCAAAATATACTTTACTCAAACATTTCAGTTCAATTTAAAATGTTGTCTTAATTTCCTCTAGTTTTTGGATTAACAGTTAAGTTATTTATAGCCATCTATAACGTGATTAGAGCCGTAAAAGAATCTTACCTAAACAGTGCAGCAATCAACGAGCTTTTACCAGCACCGGTCCTTCCCACCACGGCCACCTTCTCCCCGGGACGTATGGTGAAGTTCACCCCGCGGATAGCGTAGTTAGGCTCATCTAACTTTATCCCGGATTCGGATGGTTGATCGTTTTTGGGAGGCCTCTCGTATTCTAGGGATACGTCTTCGAATACTATTTCACCTGAAATGGAAAAGTATTTTATCAAGTAACAGTTTTCAGTGAAGAAAACGTCATGAGGAAATCTGCTTGTCTAGAGAACCTAACAAGTTTTCAAAAGTTATGTGAAATCTGCCCGAAGTTGGCTAGCGTAGATTATGGCCTGTACCGCACCATTATAGGAAGGCCCACTCCCAACCGTGGGATGTTATAAAGGATTGAATACAATTCATATCATTGAGTATATTAATCGTAGACTATATTTGACCAATTTCGAATAATACAAGTTTCAATTCATCGTGGTCCTTATGATATCTTCACAAATAATCAATGTGGTATCAAATTGAAGAAAACTAAATATTTTTAAAGGAAAGAATAAAGAGGATAAAACATTCAGAATAGGCTACTGTCAAAATAAAGTTTCGATTTTAAAAATCAAATTCCAATAAATCCGCTATGATTTTAACAATAGATTATATTTACATTTTCTTATAAAAGAATTTGGACAGCTTTCATTCTGGGTAGTTTTGTTTCTTTATATAGATAGTAGATGGCGTTGAGTCTTTCGATTTGAGGCTTTCGAACAATTTAATAAAACGTATGTACTAAAATTTTCATTCATCTTACATTTATTAAAATAAATTTCAGTGACCTACTTAACCTGGTAAGCAATTCACAAAATATAAACAGCGCTATCTATGAATTCACCAAACCATTTCTACTACAGTAATAATAGTCAGTCAAATTGCAAAAAAATATATTTAATAGCGCATTACTTCATTTTCCTTTGCACATATTTTTTTAAATCAGAATATATATATTTGTTTATAGTTTTTATTATTTTTATTATATATAATAAACATCAATAACAAATCGATACGTAACGCCATCTATTGACATATAATTGAACTAATTTTTCTTTGTTCCTAAAACGCCTCTTCCTAATAAATACAACAAGACAAACTTATTTTTTCTCTGAAACCATTTTTATTGAACCATTCCTTACCCTGGTTAGGCCATTGTTCAAAATCAAGATTTGGATGTTGAAGTTTTATCGCCTTCATGTCAGGTTCCACGGGTTTCTCTGCGGGTAGGTTTGTGTACTCCATTATTCTCTCCACCTGGTGACATGTAAACACACTACATTCATAAATGCGTACGTTTGTATGTGTGTATGTTTGTTATACGTTCAAGCTGAAACGGTTGGACGGATTTGGATGAAATTAAAGTAGTCAAGGACACAGATAGAATATGATCTGGAGTAAAATATAAGCAACTTTTAATTTTGAAATTTGTCAAAAATGGCATTGCCTGTATATACCGTTATAAATACAAATAGCACCTAAGCGAAGCGAGAATAAGTTTTTAGTAGAAACACATTCCTAGTAGCTTTTTGGCGTATTTCTTGTCCCAGAGAAAGCATATACATATGTACCGAGATAAAAATATAAGTTAAATATCTTTAACTTTCTAATTACATCGTGACAAAAACACATATTATGAAGTTCATTTGTAAGAATAATTGCTAATTTATTATTAAGACCAGTTTTTTAATCGTTACTTTACTTCTGATTTGAAAGAATTTATATATGCAGTTGTTTTCAGGACAAATCATTTTTCCCCAAATTGCTGGTGATTTTTGGCGAATAATAATTATATTTCTGAAATACCAATATTGAGTTAAAAATTCCGACGAATTGAGAACGTCCTCCTTTTTGGAAGTCGGTTGAAAAATTATAAACCACTTACAGAAGTCATCTGGTTTTCAACTTCAGCCGTCTGCCGCATTCCATACTGACACATTCCGACCAAACCGATCACTTGTGTAATGGCCAGACCGACGTTCCCGCCCATTGTATCTGATAAGAAAAAAAATATTATTAAAAAAACAATAGACTAATCTAGACTAATATTATAAAGAGGATAGATTTCTTGTTTGTTTGTACCGAATTAGCTCTGAAACTACTGGACCGATTTATATGAAATTTGGTTAGAAAATAATTTAAGACCCTGGGAAGAACATAGGATAGTTTTTATCCCAAAAATCATCCCTTGAAGGGGTGAAAATGGGGATGAAGAGTATGGGGAATCAACCTAGGGACGAAGCCGAGCGATGCGAGGTTATTTCGCTTGTAATAAATAAATAAAATAGTAGCATAGCAACATTGTCGAATTGAGAAGTGTCTAGGTGTGTAGAAAATTAAAAACTTCGTCCAATAAATAAGAAACTAAGAGGTACTAGTCAGATACAAGTAGCAGACCATGTACATTAAAATACTATTATTTTTAATTTCCTATATCGACAGATAAGAAAAAACCCGCGATAGTGAGCGAGCTAGAAGGGAATAGGGGTGAGAAAATACAAAAAATCGGCTTGTCTATAAAAGTAGAATACAATATAAGTGACGATAGGCATTACAGTAATAAATAACGATCTATTTCGGCAGATGAAAGCAGGACGGCGATAATTAGTAAATAATGTGCGAGCGAGAACTGAATAGGGATGTCCAAATAGTAATAGATTAAAGTAGACAAGCAAAACTGTGTGAGCGAGATGGAAATAGAAAAGACTCACCTTGTCCAACAAAGAAGAAGAAACTGAAAGTGACGATGGCCAGGTACAAACAGCAGACCATGTCCATCCAGAAGCCGAAGGCTCTATTCGTACAGAGCACCAGCGTCCAGGAGGACGAGTGCAGGTCCTGCAGCTTGTCGAACTCCTGGGCTAGAGTGCGTTGCTGTTCCCGAGTCGACCTTATCGTTGAGAGACCAGATACGGTTGCTGCTGCATGGTTGAGGCTTTGGCTTCGAGCTGGAAAATAATTGTTACCTATCTATTATTATCCTCACTTAATTCTGGTATATCTCTGAGTGCCTAAATATATATAGGTGCCTATGTAATACTCCAGGCCATAGTCTATCTGTTAAATTTTGTCCATATCCGTCCAGCAGTTTAAGTGTAAACAAGTACCAAACATAATACGTACAATTTTTGCATATATACTAGTAGTCCGATAAAAGCGAAAGATTATTCACTATCTGAATATGAAACCTCAAAAATTATTTTAGCTATGTAGCTGAAGAGGCAGAGGCTCAGGCCACCGCTATGGCCAAGTGTGCGATTCAGACTTTACATGTTTTTCGAGAACTTGCTAGGTTTTCTCGAGTCTTAGACATTCAGGTTTCTTCACGATGTGATCCTTAACCTTAAGACAAGTGGTAATCATGTTGGAAATGATTCGCCCATGAGAATATCAGAGGTGCGAGACCTAAAGATTCAACCTGCTTCACTTAGTTTTCCAAGCGAGCGCTTTACCACTGCCACTGTCTTTTATCTAATGCTAGCGAGTCACCATTACTTCGGTCGGGTTCGTCCTAAGTAAACGGTTAGTATGGAATAGATAGTCGATCCTTTTCTCTGTGAAAAAGTAAAAATAAATCTCTCCCACGTAAAACCGTTTATTTTCTCCAGAAAAAAGTAACCTATGTGCTATTCCAGACTATAATCTATCTCTGTGCCAAATATCATTCAGATCCGTTCAGTCGTTCTGTCGTGATTGAGTAACAAACATCCATTCATCCAAACTTTTGGAATTATCATATTTCATTATTATGGGAAGGAATTTATGAGATTAATTTAAATAAAAGAACATTCCATCCAATAAAAGAAATCAAATCAAATAAATTAAAACTCACCAATAGCTTCAATCCTCTTCAACTCTCTACTCGTATTCAAGAATAAAGACCGTAGCAAATGAAGAAGAACAGCTACTACAGCAGTCGGTAGAAGAAGCCACCAGTTCACTAAACACACCACCACTAATATCGCGATTACTTCTAGAAAGAACTAGAAGAGAAGAGAATAAATGTTATTTATTATTAACTTTAGCTTTCGGCCTCTTTTTAAATCACAATCATAAATCAACCAATCATAAAAATCAAATAATAGAAAAGGCATACAGACATGACGACATTATAAGAGTTCATTTTTCGCTACGAAATCCTAAAAATCTCATTGGAACTGACTAGCTAAATACAGACGAAAATATAATATAGCGTACATATAAGTGGCCAACAAGCATTAGAAATCTTGGAATTCAAACGTCAAAATAAATTTAAAATGTCAAATATTTGCGTAAATCTAATAAAGTATTGTATTCAGCCCTTTTTAACGTCCTACTGCTGAGGGTGGGCCTTCCTTTAATACGAGGGGGATCAGGTCATAATCCACCACGCTGGACAAGTGCGGGCGGACTGAGCATGTCTTCCGGTCGATCTGGAATTTGAACCCACTCCTCTCGGTTTCCAAAACGAAACGTTACCATTGGGCTACAATTATCTTCTATATTATATAATATTATAAGTACAGTACAACAAAATAATACAAATATAAAGTTTCACTTCAATAATATATGTAAGCTCACCCCTAAACAGTCCACTAGAGCGACAGGCAACAGGGTATCTACTTGACCCATGTCCTTTGAGAATCTGTTGAGTATCCGACCTGAAGGGTTGTGGTAGAAGAACCACATGGGCGCGTTTGTCACACCCCTGTTGAAAATTAATGGTTAATTATAAAAGTAATCCATTGATATAAAAACATAGATACACATTTCCTAACAAATATCTCTTCAAAAAGTGGCGTCGACATGTGATGTTAAGTCAAACCAAAGAATAACATTCAAAAATCGAAAGTTCCAAATGTCTAAACACAAATTCGAACTTACGCCCACCACATAAAGTACTTTTTCAAACGTAACAACGTGCGTTTTACTTTTGTCATTCGAAAAGTAATGAACAAAAGAGATTTGAAAAAAGTGCATGATATCGAATTGTGCTCTTCTTTTTGAGAACACTTTTGAAACACTAATTGTGCATTTTGAGTTTTTGTATATCAATGTATTAAGAATACTATTATTATGTATGCGAAAGTTGTTATTTGTATGGCTGAACGGATTTAGATGAAACTTAGTATACAGTTAGGGTGTGACCTGCAGTAACATAATACGGGCTTTGGTACATAAGGACGCACCCGAGTGATGTTAGGGTTTGCTAGTTAATATGATTAACTAGGTTTAAATAAAACATGAAGAAAAATGATTGAATGCTTTTGAGAGACAATAATAACCAAACAAAAAATATATATTTAATTAATTAAAAGTAAAAACCCGTATCTGTCAACTAAAGGAACATTGATTGAGACTTAAAAAATTGATAAAAATCAAAAGATTGATAAATGCATAGATTGATAAATTTACAATTGATTGATAACGGTTGATAATGATTGACAATGGTAACATACCGGAACATACAATCGTGCAGCGCTACGGAGGCTCTAATACATGTATTGTAGAACACAAGGAGTTTATTCCAGGTGAAGAACATACAGACGAGTATGAGAGATGCATATATATAGACGCACTGCTCACGTGTGAGATGGAAATAGTTTGAGGGCAGCTCTTCGAACGTTACTGTAAAGATTTTTAGATTTAAAACTGGATGGAATTAGATTATCATACTAATAACTATACAGATAAATAAAATTGAAGTGTCTGTTTGTAATGTCAAAACAACAGGTTTTTACTAAATGCATATGAAATTACTCGTATATATGGTACTTAAAAGATAAAAATATTTTTCTTTTGTAATCTTTGTCTGTCTATTTGTTTCGGTTAATCTCTGAAATCAGCTGGACCGATTTTGACGGAATTTTCACTGGCAGATAGCTGATGTTATAAGGAGTAACTTAGGCTACTTTTATTTTAGAAAAAAGTTAAGAAGTCGCTAGTTAATATAAAAGTTTGTATGTTTCTTACTCCTTCACGCTGAAACGGCTGGACGGACTTTGATGAAATTCAGTACACAGATAGATTATGAGCTGGAGTAGTTTATAGGCTAACTGTTAGACACCTATATGGGACAGAAGCACACCTACCTCGGCGAGGGTAAGTCACTGGTAAAAAATAATTATCGACTTTGTACCTCTGAGTATTTATATCGGACGCCATTCGTTGCTACAAAAAATAATCAGGCGTTTTGACAACTTGTATGTAACAACGTAAATTTTTAATCTCTCCCCACTACCCTTAATTAGAACTTATAGCCTCTATATATTAAAAGAACATACAAACAAATTAACAAAACAGTTGATTAAATTAATAATATAAAAATAATATATTATATAACTTACATGGTGGTGTGTCATTCGCTGATGCATTTCTACTGGCTACACTCTGAGCACTGTTTGCTTCCTCCATGTTTACCCTAAAAAAAAAGTAAAAAAAAAAAATATTACGTTTTAACCATTCATTCTATACATAACGTGTCTTCTCCATTCTACGCGATATTGGCGAATTAAATTGTGCCCAAATGACACTCCTAGTAGCCATTTAACAAAAGAATTCTAGTAGCCATTTAACAAAAGGATTGAATTGAATTGAAGAATTTTATTTGTAAATATGTATGTAATCTGTATTTTTCTTCACGATTTAAAAAAAATAATTGTAATGAAAATTAACATTAAATGGTAGTTTTGGCAGAGTTAAGTATAAATATTAAATAATCATTATAAATTGAATTTAAATGCCTCGGTGGTCTAGTGGCTAACATGTACGGCCGCAGGTCTGGGTTCCAGTCCAGGGTTGGGCAAAGCAAAAATCGTGACAAAGGAAAACTCATTTCATTTTTATTATATAAACATATAATAAAATATGTAGATTATATATCAACAGATGACACAACTTAAGAATATTAAAAGAAAAAAGAAAAAACAGGACACAGAGTAGTTTTATAAGAGAGAACTTACCATTCTTTCAACCAAATATCCGTAGATGAATAAAATATTTGCGCCAATATGAACAAACTACATAGGAGAATTATTGTTAGAGATCCTCCACCACTCTTTATGTAGTTCAAATAGACAGCAAAATCTACAGAACCTTTGTTTTGAGTTTCACCTGAAAATAAACATGGTTAATTAATTTTAGTATTATTATAAACTAGCGTCTCACCCTCGCTTCGCTCGGATGCGTCCCTAGGTACATTTTGTTTACAATTTCATAGGTTTTAATTATTTTACGCGGAACTATTATTCTTTTTCTAAAGTAAAAGTATCCTAAGTTACTCCTTATAACATAAGCTATCTACCAGTGAAAGTCCCGTCAAAATTGATCGAGCAATTTCGGAGATTAGCCGAAACAAACAGGAAAAACAGACAGACAGAAAAAAACGTTTTTATCGCTGTATGCTTTCATATGAATTTAATAAAAAGCTGTTATAACAGACACTTTAATTTTATTTATTTTTATAATGAAATTTTATTTGTGTGTGTGTGTATGTTTATAAGTCAGTACTCAAACGGCTGGACGGATTTGGATGAAATTTAAACTAAACTGTTAGAGAGCTAGGTCTCTCGTAGAGGATGTTAAACAAATAATAACTGAATAAACTGCGATTATAGACAAACCAAATAAAATGGCCGATATTTTAATATCGGGTTAGCCATAATCAATGGTTTAGTCAAACTATCGTCCCACCGGAGTATGAGAGTGACAGGGACAGAGAGTGCCCTTGTGTCTGCGCTCTCCCTCACACGCGCTGCACTATAATATCTCCTGCAGTTGGCTAGTCTCAATGAGATTGGCCGCCGTGGCCGGAGTCGGTCGACAGGACGTTATCAGTCTTTACTTATATGAGACTAGCGGACCCGACAGACGTTGTCCTGTCTACACGTCTTTAATTTGAAAATTTCAAACTTTTTTTAATAATTTTTTTTGATGAAAATTATTATTCAAATTGTGAATCTAAACCATTCCTAGATCCCCTTGAACACACCCAAAAAATTTCATCAAAATCGGTCCAGTCGTTTGAGAGAAGTTCAGTGACATACACACTCACAGAAGAATTATATATATAAAGATTTACAAATATAACTCTCACCTTCGTACTTAGGACTCAAATTGTTATCTAAATCCATATTAAATGACAACTGAGACACTTCAGACATAGATCTTTGAGAACGGAGTTTCTGATTGTGTTCCTAGAAAAGAAATATGAATAAAAAAAATTTAAATATTAAAATATAATTTTTGTTAAATATAAATACAAAGAATATACAATTATAATTTGTCTTTGATTTTTACTCTAAAATTACTATCGGAATAAGACTACTTTTCTATAACTGACCTAAGATTAAAGGCACAAGATATAAAAAAATATTATAAAAATGTCGATACATTTTTCCAACTAAGTGTGTAATTACTCTAGAATGATAAAAAAGAAAAGATTGATGATGATTGATAAATGAATTAATTGGTTGATGAGGATTGATAAACTAATAGTAACTTAATGCACTTGTAAATGTAAATGTAAATATTCTAATGAAAGAGGAGAGGCAAAAGAACATTTTAAATACAATGATACACCTGCTAAAAACAAAAATAAGTAAAATAAAAATATATATAAATATAGTTAAAACTAGTAAAATATTTAATAGTACTTATACAAGTAAGAACAATTTTTACTTTTATGATAAATATAAACTACATGAAAACGTATCAACAAAATGTATGAAATACAATTGAAATATATTATTTCCAACTAACACTCCTTTTAATATCCGCCATCAGAGAATCTGTTGTGATCATTGCATTGAAAACCTTAAATAAACATTTGAATTAGCAAACAAAATCGAGTTCATTAAGCCATTTAAAAAAATATTTACTATCAATCTGACCTTCTCGACTCATTCAAATTCAGCATTAAATTATTACAATAATTGTTTACTGAACGTCACGAGTCTTCTACCAGTTCGGAAAGAAGAAACCTCAAACCTGAGAAGAACTGGCGAAAGAAACTCAGCGGGACTAATATTATATTGTTATCTTTTATGTAAATTGTACATTTTGACCCAAATATTATCTTTAAAGAATTGTAGATATTGGAAGCTAATACAGGCTGCAGGTGTAAAACGTGACCACCTTTAAAAATGACTTACAAATTTTTGACTAACAGTTATAATTAACTTTGTGTAAACTTAAGATTTATGTGAATATTTGACATTTTAAACAAAACTATCTTTTCGAATTTTTCAAGGATTTATTTTGATTTTTGATTGGTCAAACATAGTAACGGGTGGTCAAAATCAAAATAAACCCGCGAAGAAATCTGAAAAGTCCATTTAAACCAAGTATGTCACTAACATTATTTCACCATTGAATTCTACAGAGAATTGTGTTCTTTTAAATTTAACAAGTTTTTTCGCTAAACTTCATCGAAATCGTTCAGCAGTTTAAACGTGAAAGAACAGACTGACCAAGTCCTAGTTGGCAAACTTCACATCCTTAGATGTTTCCCTTCACCGTAAGACAAGTGGTGATCATGTCGGAAATGATTCGCACGTGAGAATATCACAGGTGCGAGACCCGGGATTCGAACCTGCTTCACACTTTGAATTCCAAGCATCTAAGTTAGTTAAATTTATAATAATTATCCAAATTCTAAAATTATCTCCATTAAAGTAAAGTAAATAATTTTTTCTACTCACAATTGTCTCCACTTTTTCAAAAGTTGCAGCTTTCTTTAACTTTTCCTCTTCCACCTTTTCACCCATTTCTATCAATTTTTCAAACTCTGTGACGCCATTTTTAAGCTCATGATACGTCCCTTGAGCTACTATCTGTTGTAATATAAAAATAAATATAATCACTATGATATACAAAAACACAAGATACACAATAAGCGTTACAAAGGTGTCCTCAAAAAAAGATGCACAATTTGAAATTGTGCGCTTTTTTCAAATCTCTTTTGATTTTGCTTTTCGGATGACATAATTAAAACGCACGTTGTTACGTTTAAAAAAGTACTTTATGTGGTGTGCGTAAGTTCGAATTTATGTTTAGACAATTAGATCTTACGATTTTTGAATTTTATTCTTTGGTTTGACCTAACACGTCACATGTCGACGAAACTTTTTGAAGAGATAGATATTTGTTAGGAAATGTGTATCTATATTTTATATATTATCAATGTATAGTTATCTTATAATATTAAATAATAAATTCTTGTATATATATATATATATATATATATATATATATATATATATATATATAATTTCGTGTATCTCGGAAACGGCTCTAACGATTTGCATCAAATTTTGTATTTACATAAAAAAATTCTTTTAACTTTATTATTTTTTTTTTATACTATTCACAATTAGTGCTTGACTACGTTCCACCTGATGGTAAGTGATAACGCAGCCGTAGATGGTGAGTCGCACTAATTCAGTAGCCACCTATTCACTCTTGCCTTGAAGACACCCATATTATAATCGGACGGAAACACCGACGCAGGCAGGTTGTTCCAATCCTTAGCCGTACGTATAATAAATGACGTAGCGAAACGCTTCGTGCGGACGGGTGGAATGTCCACGACATAAGGATGGAGACCAGCCGTTCGTCGGGTTGTCCGATGATGGAAAGGGGATGGGGGAATTAATTCATGTAGTTCCTGCGCACACTCTCCGAAATGTAACCTATAGAATACACAAAGGCTGGCAACCCTACGTCGGTGATCGAGGCTTTGTAGGTTAGCTTTTACCAGCGTAGGGTCACCTATAAGCCTTTGAGCACGCCTCTCAATCGAGTCCAAGGCTGACAGATGGCATTTCGCAGCACCAGCCCATATGTGACTACAGTATTCCACACACGACCGGACTTGCGCTTTATATAAAACAAGAAGCTGTCCCGGCGTGAAATACTGTCGGACCTTTGCAAGGATGCCAACTTTCCTCGCAGCTACATTAGCCTTAGACTCGATGAACCGCCCGTAGTTCATGTTGGGGCTGATGTCCATCCCTAACAACTGCAGACGTTCTGTGTATTCCAAAGGCACATTCCGGAAAGTAGGAGTCAAGGTGAAAGGACTCCTTTTAGTGGTGAACAGGCACGCCTGTGTTTTGGTGGCATTGAAACTCACAAGATTGGCATCGCCCCAAGTGGAGACTGTCCTGAGTGTGAGATTCAACCGCTCTACCATGGCCTCTCTTTCGGACTGAATTTGATCTCTACTGGCCCGAGGATTCGGCAGGTATCTCTCTACAATAGTGCTGTCGTCTGCGTACCCATAGATACCATATTATTCATGTAAATGTCTGTATGTTTGTAACGCAATCATATGTGAACCGCTTTGTATGTAACTTGTAACACAGATAGACCATGTTCTAGATTGCACATATACGATCTCATGATATTAGTTCGATTGTAATGTTATTTTATTCTGAAACATGTATAGCTGGCTTTCCGGATTCCTGGGTTCGAGTCCCTGGGGTTGCACCAAGTACAGTTATTAAGTTTTTCTATCAAGAATCTCTCAGTAACAGTTCGAAGTTAGGAAGTTGGCATAACCCGGAATCGAGTGTGAAATCGTTCATAAATATAATTATTACTTCTAAAATTATGTATAAATGGCAATGCCGAAAAAAAGTTTAAATGAATAGAATGAAAATAGTTTTCACGCGTTTCAGCAATAAGAGGTCCATCCGTTTTGTAGGAACCAAACATACAAAGAAACAAATAACATTATATAAATACTACGCGTCACCCTTAAAATAAGACAACGGTCATTTTTTTCGACCTCTATTAAAATTATTATAATTTCTGACAGTAAATCCATTTTTATTGAAATAAAAAATAGCCAATAGCACTCGGCGATAATGTAAGCTACCTGTTGGTGAAAGTTTTATTAGAATCGGATCAGTACTTTCAGAGAATATCCCATACATACAAACTTAACTCTCTCTCTTTATAATATTAGTATAGGTCATTGATCAAAAAAGTACTCGATACACAAACCCACGCAAAATTTCACTTAAAACTGTCACCAATTGTGTTTAGGTAATTATTCTAGTTGAAATAAATATACATACAACATTGTAAATCGAACCTTAAACGCAACGCTTAAAGTTGTTTTCACAAAAAAAAATCAATTAAAAGCGCGCTCAAATATTCAACTGAGCGCTCATTCGGTGAGGACATTTTTCGTCGCCGTTTGTGTATCTAGTAGGTACTTTTTTATCGATGGTATAGCTATAGCTTTGACGACTCACTTTGCCGGATCTCATAACGCACACGTTGGCGGCGTGCCGCGCGTACTGCACGTGGTGCGTCACGAGCACCGTCGCTTTGTCGCGCAGGAAACCGCGCACGCACTCTTCATAGATCGCTTGCGCTACCTGTTGAAAGGATAAATAAATAAATAAATATGTTGGAACATTAACACACAGCGCTATCTATTTCCATGGTAAGCTACGAGGCTTGTGTTATGGATACCGGATAGTTGATACACTACACATATGTAACTTTATATACATACATATTATAAATAGTTATCCCAGCTATGGGATTGTGCAAATTCATATAGATCAGGTTGTGAAAGTGTAAACGTAATTTTATATCTATATATGTGTGTCAGTACGTATTTAATTACAAATATATGTAAATTTATTAGAGTGTAGGTGTATTTATTTATTTATGTGTGATATTGTATATGTAATAGGGCAAGTATGATAATGTTTGTGTGATAGTGCATAATGTACACCTGTATGTCCGTCTGTGTATACATATATATACCTTAGCATCGACAGCAGCGAGGGGGTCGTCCAACAAGTAAACATCCGCGTGCTGATACACGCAACGCGCGAGCGATATGCGCGCTCTCTGGCCGCCCGACAGAGATGCTCCTGTTTGTATCATAACATATTAATTACAGCTTTATATATCAAAACTCGTATATTGGTGACGAAATCACTATATTTTGTACGAATTATATCTCAAATTTTATATTGAACACTCTTGAGACATGAGTAAGTACTAAGTATTTCTACAAAGACAAAACTTCATACAATCGCGCACCGATAGATACAGTACTACATGTCCAAACAATGGGTGACAAGTCGTAATAGAGTTCACGTAAACTAGTAACCGTTGACAAAACCGGTTCTTTCCAGTTCCGAACTGTGGACAATATGATGATGATGATGATGTTCTCCTAACCGATTCCGGCTACAGCGGCCAGTCTCATTGAGACTAGCCAACTGCGCAGGAGATATTATAGTGCAGCGCGTGTGAGGGAGAGCGCAGACACAAGGGCACTCTCTGTCCCTGTCACTCTCATACTCCGGTGGGACGACGCGAGATACGACCAGTGAGTGTCGTCGCAGGACCCACTGCTTTACGTGCTCTGCCTCGGAACGGGGGTGAAACACCGCCAACTTCCCAACTTCGGGGTGTTACTGAGACTTACTATACAGAAAGACTCAATAACTAAACTTGGCCCGACCCTGGACTCGAACCCAGGACCTCCGAGTGTGCAGCCGTACATGCTAGCCATTACACCACCGAGGCAGTTAAAACGTTGTAATGTAAAGTTGTGGACAATATAATATATATGTGAATCAGATGATGATGAATCAGAGCGTTGAGCGTGACTGTGCGTTAAAAGAAAACGCACACAAGTACCGCTACACGGTTGTATGAAGGTTTGTCTTTTTAGGGATATTCGCTCATGTGCTTGTGGTATACCTATATAAATAAAAAAAAAACATCAATTCTATATCTCTACAATTAAGATTTAAAAAAAACTCTGTGACTAATATGGCAAGAGTTCAATATCCACATCGGATATACTGAAGCCTAAAAACATCTGTTTCTAACTCTATCTGTTACTTTTTGACGCTCAAACCTCTGAGCAGATTTTGATAACATTTGGCAAGGGCATAGATTGCATCCTGGGATCGGACATAAGCTCCTTTGATAGCAGAGTGGACCGTGGGAGCCACACCATGGTTGTGGTGGTCTGCTTCGGCAGACCTGCCGTCGGGGCGTCGTAGTTGAATGCGTAAGCGATCCTGCGACGCCCCATTAAGACGGGGAAAGGCTTTGTTGGGTTTTAGTGGGTAGTACTGGCTTTTCTAGCCGGCGAGTCTGACCACCTGTATATCTACAGATGGTGTGCATAAATGGATTTCCCAACATTAAAAAAAGGGTAGTAAGAAAGGCAACTATAACGTCCTTACCTCTCTCCCCAACTATCGTCTTGTCCCCATGCGGCAGTATATCGAGGTCGCTGCGTAACTGACAGCACTTGATCACTTGCTTGTATCTTCGAAGATCGAGCTCTTGGCCGAACAGAATGTTCTGTCTTACCTGAAAAGCAAAAAATATATATAAAAATTGTGTGTATATACGTTTGTTCCAACTTGACGTTGAAACGGCAGAACGGATTTGGAAGACATTTAATATATAGAAATAGATAGACTATGGACTGGAGTAAGGCAGTGGTAGCCCAGAAGTAATACGCTCACTTGGTAAACCGAGTAAAGCGGGTTCAAGTCCCGGGTCTCGCATCCCTGGTATTCTCATGTGCGATTTTTTTTTCAACATGATTTCAACTTGCCTTACAGTGACGAAAAAAATCAAAAGGAAACCTGCATGTCTGAAAGAACCCAGCCAGTTCTCGAAAGATATGCTCAGTCCGCCCGCACTTGGCCGGCATGGTGGACTATAGTTTGATCCCCCTCGTATTGAAGGGAGGCCCGTCCCCAGCAGTGGGATGTTAAAGGGCTGAATACATACACATACATGTAATGAATACATAAACATGTGCTGGAGTAGCATGTACGCTAGTGTTAAGCACTTATTACTCTAGTTAATACCCACAAAAAATTAAGAATAATCACGCATATTATTATAATAAGATAAAGTATAGTGAAAGAAAGTCTCCCAACAAATTCATACACAAAAATTAAACAAACAAACAAATCTTTTCTCTTCATAACACTAATATAAATTAGTATAGACGAATCAATATATCGTCAGCACTAAATAATCACTAACTTATTGATACTTTTACTTTTTACTATATTACGAAGTAAGTACTGCTAGCTTAATTAAGAACTAGCAGTTTTTGAAAATTAATGTTGCGGAACCAAATTAGCACTAAGTTTTAGTGATTTTTTTCCATTTGATTCAATTCTCTTGTCAATAGCTTCGAATGTCACGTGGAATGGAGAAGACACGAAGCAAATTTGTCGGTTTTGCCCATTTGAACATTCCAGCTTTATAGACGACAAAACCTCCACGTTTTCTATAAGTTACCTTTAAAACACACTAATTTACCAATAGATGGCGTTGTTAAAAAACCTTGAAGAAGAAAAAAAATGAAATCCAGTAATATTCTTACCGATGCCTCAAAAAGCCAAGGGTCCTGGGAAGCGTAGGCCAGAATGCCGCGCACGGAGAGGTGTCCGGCGGACGGAGAGATTTCTCTTAGCATTGCTAGGAGGAGAGTGCTCTTGCCAGATCCCACTGAGCCTACTATTGTTGTTAGGGATTCTGGTTTTATCTGTGGAGGAATATTGTTTGTTTGAGTGTCTGCTTGTCTGACGGAAATTACCTAATACTTGAATGTTTGTTAATCACGCCAGAACGATTGACCGAATCTGGATCAATTGGCAGAGAGATAGATTATAGTCTGGAATAGCACATAGGTTACTTTTTATCCCGAAAAAATATACGATTCCCGTGAGATATCCATACTAACCGTTAAATTAACATATCGAGTACCGAAAATGAGTCGCTAGTATTATAAAAAATGGAAATGTTTATATGTGTGCATGTTTTTCACAATTTTCGCATATTTAATATTTATTCGATATGTTGATTTTTATAACATTTTTTTTTATTTCAATGTCTTAATCTTAATAAATAATGACAAAAAAATAATATTTGTTACAAAATCTTAATCCCTTCAACTATAAAACAGTTACATAAAAAAAGAGAGAAACAAAAAAACCTGACAATTTTTTTTACAACATTTAAAAAAAACATTCTATCCAACTTTATTTAACTAAACAAAAAAAATAAAAAATGTTTTTTAAGAACATACTTACATTTAAATTAATATCACTTAAAGCGGGTACTTTATTATCTTCCTTATTTTCACTTTTCCAATGTGCTGTATAGTCTTTGAGACTCACTAAAACTGATGGTTTCAGGTTTTCTAGGTTCGTTTCCGATTTGATGAAGGCTTGTTGGCTGAAAACATAATTGTATTTAGCCCAATTTTAACGTCCCACTGCTGGGGGTGGGCCAACCTTTCAGTACGAGAAGAATCAGGCCATAGTTCACCACGCTGGCCAAGTATGGGTTTCTTCAGGATGTTTTCCTTCACCGTAAGATAAGTGGTAATCATGTTGAAATGAATCGCACATGATATTATCAGAGGTGCGAGACCCGGGATTTGAACCCGCTTCACTCGGTTTCCTTACCTATATGTTTTCCTCAAATTGTTAATAATGATTATGATCGAATGTTGAACACAGGGAAAACACGAGTTGGTATAATTTCTAACTGTTACAAAACATACTATACATATTTAAAAGATACTTGCCTAAAAAAATCTGGACCTTATAAAGTAATTATGGAAAGAACATTCCGATATTTATATCATATTATTTTCTATATGAAGATGACATGAAAGGTAAATAGTCTATAAATGGCGACATAATTTTGATAGAAATTTTTAATACATATTGTAAATTTTGTTTGGATTTGTTTATTTCCGAAACTACTGTACGGATTTTGATATGGTTTTCACCAATAGAAAGATATAGGAAAGTTATAGACATAATCTATGGGCACTTTGTTAAAACAAGCTGTCGGTATGACATTTGTGATTTAAATCAGAAAAATCATCCTTACTAAGAGCCTCCATCTGAATATATGTACGTATTTAAAACCAAAATTTATTAAATCCTCAAATTTAAGAAAAATAATATGGAAACAACCTCACCCATTGCCAATTTTCTCGAACACTCCATTAGCTTTCACTTCATCAATTTTAACCAAATCCACGCCATCTTGATTATCCACTTCCGGTAAAAGAAGAAACTCTTGCATCCTCTTCACACTAACATACGCTTCTAACGTAAATGTGATGGCCAATGGCAAGAAATCTACCAAAGAATACTTCAAAATGTCGTAATATGAGAAAATCACAAACACTTTAGCAGCAGTCAGTTCGTTTTTGAACGCTATGAAGGAGATTATGCTCAAGAAAATGGCAACTTTGGTGTTCAATTTGACACACGATATCATGACAGCTCGGAGCCATGACATTTTTTTTATTATATTCATTTCTTTCCTGGAAAATTAGAAAATATCACCTACATCACTTTTCTTTATGCACAAGCCATTGATGTATTAAAAAAAAACATTATTTGAACGTTATAACACTCAAACTAAGGAATAATATAGACAGAGTGTCATAGAACTGAACTTGAAGTTAAATAATGATGTTTTAAAATAGTATACAAATGACATTGTTGTTTGTATAGTGAGTGATAAGCATCGATCAAAAAAGTACTAGATACACAATCAGCGACAAAAAATGTCCTCACCGAATGAGCGCTCATTTGAACATTTCATTTGAGCGCGCTTTTAATTCATTTTTTTGTGAAAACTACTTTAATTATTATATTTAAGGTTAAATTTACATTATTGTATGTTTATTTCAACTAGAACAATTACCTAAAAACAATTGGTGAAAGTTTTGAGAGAACTTTTGCATGAGATTGTGTATCTAGTACTTGTTTGATTAATGGTAATAAGAAAATAAATGTTAATTAATATGGTGATAGCTAAAGGATTTTATCATAATAAAGAAAAAAAACTAATATAATGCCATCTCTCTTTCAATGGAAAGAGAAGGAATGCTTAAAAAATATATTTTATTCTCAAAAATTGAATATTAACTTAACTATGGCAAAATCTAGAATAGCATTAACAATAAAACACGCTAATATTTTTTTTTTACTTTGACATTAATTTTGGCGGACTACGTTTATATAATATAATATATTATAATGCTTTAGTCTGAGCATTCACATTACAAAATTATATTGATAAAGACTATATTTAGTTTTCGTAACCACTAAAAAAAACTCTTTTTAATAAAAATAACTAAGACAAAAATGAAAAAAAAAATTTTTTTCAACAAAAAATTTTTTTTTCCACAATTCAAAAAAACAACAACATACCTTCTCGCCTGACCAATGATACCGGCAAAGGCACTCTCCCACGCGTACATTTTAATAGCTTCTATACTCTGTATCACTTCATTCATCAGTCTAATACGATTGTCTGTCCGTATGGTCGTTTGATGACGTAACCTAGATGAGATCTTACCGAGGTATCCTAAAAATAATGCTCTAATGTTAGCTTAAATGTTATGGCTAAAAATAATTTACATAAAAAGTTGTATGTCTTTTTAAGCATCCCACATCTGTGGGTTCCATTTGCACCCTTCGGGTACGGAACCCTAAAAATAGAAAAAAAAACAGAGAAATAGAAAGAGAGATAAAACCAAACTCACCCTGTAAAGGTATAAACATCAACAGAAACGCCACGCCTATGAACGTAGCGACACCAATCTGTCTGTACATCAGGTATATTATTATGACGCTCTCTATGGGAGTCCTTATGAGGTCCACCATAAAGAGACTCGCCATATCGAATCTTTGGGCATCTGTTGTTAAAAGATTGATCACGTGACCTGCCAGCCCTTCTGAGGCCTTCCCACCAGCTGTTAAATCTAAGCGGAGGAGCTGGAAAAGAAGTTATATTATACTAATGATATATCCTAGCTTCGCTCGAACCCTAGATGCATTAAAATAAATAATAAACTACTCAATAGACATTTTTCCGACTCCAATTAAAATTATTATCATTTCTAACGACACGTTTGGCTCAGTTTAATAATAATAATTTATATATGTTGGGACATTAACACAGCACCATCTAGTTCCCTACGAACTTGCTAGTAGACCTTACGTTGTGCCAGCGGTCGCGGGTACGAGTTCCGCTGGCTTATAAGGAAAATATCGTATAAAGTGATTATGTATAATCGGTCTTCTATTTACAATGAAAATTATTATTAATTTATGTTACATCTTAACCACTAAACCTAAAAGGCAGATAATTAAATAATCGTCCTATATATTGTACTAAGCATTGCCCGCAGCTCCGCCCGCGTTCAGATGACCAAAAACCAAATTCTTACGTTTTACATATTAGTATACTCTTACATTGCAGTTTTTGTATTTTTTCTCAGAAATGAGATATTTTCCCGCGGTAAAAAGTATCCTATATGTGGACCCGGATAACCAGTTATCACCATGCCAAATTTCATCAAAATCCCTCCAGTGGTTTTTCTGTGATGCGGTAACAGACAGACAAACAAAAGTTCTAAAAACTATAGATTCGGCCTCTGTATCGATAATAATGTTTATTTCAATAAGATTTCCCAAAAAATATTGCATGTACAGATTCGGCTTAGTTACAATTTTATTATATGTATAGATTTTATGTTGGTTAATGCATTTACGCATACCATCTGCATACATACAGGTGGTTATGTGGGACTCACCGGCTAGAGAAGCCAGTACTACCCACTAAAACCCAACAAAACCTCCCCCGTCTAAATGGGGTCGCAGGATCGCTTACCTTCCTATATATAAGTGAACAACAAGCCACTCTTATTTTCATCGCCATATCCAATAGAAACAGCAACATTGGATGCATCATAGTCGCATTAATTGCCATAAAACTGAAAAATAAAATATATTCATCTATAAAAATAAATAAAATTAAAGTGTCCGTGTGTAATATTAAAATGACAACTTTTTACTAAATGCATATAAAAGTATATAGGGTACTTATAAGAAAAAAACAATTTTTACAAATTTTTGTTTGCCTTTCTGTCTTATTTTATCTCCGAAACGGCTGGGCCGATTTTAACGGAACTTTCACTAGCAGATAGTCGATGTTATAACTTAGGCTACGTTTACTTTAGAAAAAAAATTGGATACCGCGCAAAATATTCATAATTTGACCTAAATGTAAATCTACTTCTTAGGAAAGGACTAGAATATTTAAAATTAAAACTTTTTATGAGCTTATTATTAGTAAAAGGATGCAATATAGCAAAGTGAAAAAATATCTCAAAATATGTTTACATAGAAACCAAAAATCTTTTTTTTTAAATAAACTGAAAAATGAAAAAAAAAAACAAAAAATACATTTAAATAAAACACAAAATACACAAAAAAAATAACTAAGAATTATTAAGAATTTCTTTGACAGAAAAACCCAAGTAACTATACTTAATCCGACACGGGTCTCGAACCCACGACCATCGGATGTGCAACCATACATTCTAGCCACTAGACCAACAAGGCAGTTAAATAATTTGGCACTTACCCTACTACACCTAGCGCGTATAAATACGCCTCATACGTCTTTATGCCCGCGTGAGACGGCGAGAAATAATTTATCAGTCCTTCAAGGCACATTGGTATTGATAACCTACAAAAATATTGAAAAAATATGTTACTAAGATTGTATTCAGACCTTTTTAACTTCCCACTGCTGGGCGTGGGCCTGTCTTCCATACGAGGGGGATCAGGCCGTAGTCCACCACGCTGGCCGAGTGCGGGCGGACTGAGTATGTCTTTCGAAAACATGCCAGGTTCTCTCAGACATGCAGGTTTCCTCACGATGTTTTCCTTCACCGTAAGACATGTGGTAATCATGTTGAAAATGATTCGCACATGAAAATATCAAATGTGCGAGACACGGGATTTGAACCCGCTTCACTCGTTACCTAAGCTAGCGCTTTACCACTGGGCTACCACTGTTATTACTAACATTATCATAATCTTAATCTATATTAATATTATAAATGCAAAAGTTTGTGAGGATGTATGGATATCTGGATGTATAGATGTTTGTTACTCTTTCACGCAAAAAGTACTGAATGGATTTTAATGAAACTTTAGAATAATATAGTTCATACATCATAATAACACATAGGCTACTTTTTATTTCGAAAAAATATCTCCTATGAGATTGATTTGTTTTTGTTCTAGAGGCAAAACCCGATCGAAGCGAGGGTGAGCCACTAGTCTATACTAATATTATAAAGAGGTAAAGTTTGTGAGTTTGTGAGGTTGTAGGGGCTAATCTCTGGATCTACTGAACCGATTTAGATGAAATTTGGTAAGCAAATTTGCCGGCAACCCATCTGCAAGCCCTGCGGTGTTGCAGATGTCCATGGGCGGCGGTGATCACTTTCCATCAGGTGAGCCTCCTGCTCGTTTGCCCCCTTAGTGCCATAAAAAAAAAGCAGATAGTTTGAGACCCTGGGAAGGATATAGGACTTTTTATCCCGGAAATCATTCCTTAAGGGGGTGAAAATGGAGAAGAAAGTTTTATAGAGAATCAACCCAGGGTCTAACCCGAGCGAAGCGGGGCTGAGCCGCTAGTAATAAATAAAAGTAAGATAACTAACGGAATATTAAAAGCTGAACATAAAGGCAGAAATAAAACATATAATCATACTAAACTATAAATGCGAAATTTTGTTTGTATGTGTGTATGTGTGTTACTCATTCACGCCGAAACGGCTGGACAGATTTGGATGAAATTTAATACAAAGATAGACTATGACCGGAAGTAATACATAAGGTACTGTTTGATAACCAGCGAACGCATTCGTGCGAAGAGAATTTATGTCTATAGCATAATCTCATTAATCCATACTAATATTATAATGGTGAAAGTTTGTGAGGATGGATGGATGGATGGATGTTTGTTTGTTACTCTGTCACACCAGAACGGCAGAACTGATCTGTATACTTATACAATAATAGAAATCTCATCAAAATACATCCAGTCTTTCAAAAAGAAAACCATCTTAATCCCTCAACGACCGCGGACACGCCGGCGTTACAAATAACAATAGATTTCTTAGCAATCTAATTGATTTCTTAGAAATTTACCTGCAGGTGTTAAATTCAAAAACTTACCTAATACTGCAGTCAAAAATTGCGAAAATTAAATTAAACAGTAGAAATTTCACTCCATATATTTTCGTTATGGCATTGATTAATAATGGCTTCTTGCCTTTCCCTGAAATTAAAAAAAAACATAACTAAATAAACTATCTTCGATTTACGCGAGTATCTGACATTTTAAATAGAACTATCTTTTCGGATTTTTTCGCGGATTTATTTTCGATTTTTGGTTCCCGACGTTACGAATGCAGTTGAAAAGAAAATCGGGACCTCGAACCTCGGAGGAAGTAGTTTTATTTAGAAGAGAGAGAGAGCTACTATCTCTCTCTGGACTGCGCAAAAGAAAAGGGATAATTATACATGCCTTGTTTTCCTACTTCTTCTTTCCATTTTTCGCCAATAACGTCGCCCCGCGGCGCTGCTCGATGTCCCGGTGTACATCTGTAATAATAAACGTACAGATATAATTATGTTACATTTTATCTCGTATCAATTTCAAGAAAATTCATGATATTTATGATTAGACAGAAATTCTATAGAAAAAGCACTTTCTCTTTTAATTTCTCCCAAAGTTTTCTAAATATTTTTTTCCTATTAGCCACATTCAAACTCTTAACATTTTAAAATGCATCCAGCCGTCCTCAAGTACAGCAACACATTTTTATTATATATATAGATAGATAGATATAGAAAGTGGTGGCACAGTGGTAAAGTGGTCACCTGGTAAAAAAAGTGAAATGGATTCAAACCCCGGGTCAAGAACCCCGGGTTCGACCTCTAAGATTTTCATGTGTATCTACTGTCACAATAACTATCCTTGGCCCAACCAGGGACTCAAACCCTGAAACTCTGCAGCCGTATAGCTAGTTAGCCACTAGACCGAAGAATTGATTTTTTTTTATTTATATAGGACGTCTTTTGATGTTTCGACTATTCATAAAAAAAAATACGATCTATAATTAGCGTGCATATCATTTACTGAATAACTCCCCCTTTTCAAAGTCGGTTAAAAATTAATAAAACTACTATCCCATATAAAGAAAATCTTAAAATTTTCTGATCTAAAGCATATAGCATTTAACGGGCTATTACCTGTACATGTTTGATATATTGAGCTGTCCTTTTCGCCCCTTCGCGAAAATTTGACGAGTGTACCTGAAAAATTGCACGTGAGTAATTAGCACTCTCTATTGAGAATTATTTTAGACTATTAGCACCTTCAGGTAAATTTCTAAGTAATTAATTAAATTTCTAAGAAATCTATTGTTAACTGTAACTCCGGCGTGCCCGCGGTCGTGGAGGGATTAAATAGTTAGCACTGGTAGCCCAGTGGTAACGCGCTCGCTTGAGAAACCGAGTGAAGCGAGTTCAAATCCCGGGTCTTGCACCTCTGATATTTCATATACGAACCATTTCCAACATGATTGCCACTTGTCTTACGGTGAAGGGAAACATCGTGAGGAAACTTGTGTCTGAGAGAACCTAGCAAGTTGTCAAAAGACATGTGAAGTCAGCCAACTCGCACTTGGCCAGCGTGGCTATGGTGGATATGGCCTGATCCGCCTCGCCTTGATGGGAAACTCGTGCCAGTGATTTCCGCAATAACCAATATCCTATGTCCTTCCCAGGATTGCAAACTATTTTCTTACCAAATTTCATCTAAAACGATCCAGTAGTTTTTGAGTTTATTTATTGTTACAAATATACAAAAATTTCGGAGATTAGCCGGAACAAATAGACAGACAGTCAAAAATTATAAGTACTAATTACTTATAATACTTATTACTTATAATACTAAGTACTGATTATACATAATTTCATATACATTTAGTAAAATTCTGTTATTTTGACATTACAAACAGACACTTCAATTTTATTTATCTGTACAGCCTAGCGAAGCGAGGGTAGATCGCTAATATGTTACATATAAAAAAACACTTACCAAAAACATGCTTTTGAGATTAAGTTAGCATTTTCCCGTGGGTTTTGCTTCCTTTCTACGTCAAAGTAACCGGGATCCATTGTTGTATGAGGAATTAAATATCTTATATCCTTCTACACTATACTTCTCACATACTTGGGTTTACCTGTGAACAAAGAAAGACATGCTTAAAAAATTATATATATATATATATATATATATATATATATATATATATAAAGAAATTAAAAAAATATATAAGGAAAATCAAAAGTTCATATTTTTTACTCATTAATTTACTCACTGACAAAATCGCGAAATGCATTTACGGAATTTCGTGAACTGAAACATCTTTACAATGGTTGTCATTTAAACTCTTTAAACAGAAATGCGACACGAGAAAGAGACAAACACATAAATATATAGGATTAAGCCGACGATAGAATGAGATAGAATACACAACACAGGGTGTCAAAAATAATACTGAATAATATGTCATGTAATATATATGTTAAATAAAATGTAAAATAAATTTCAAACTTGGGAAAAAAAATTAAACTTTTTAGGTACTTATAAAAATGAATATTCATTACTGTGGGATGAATGTGCATAAATTAAATAAAAGCTATTATGACCAATTGTTGTCATGGTAACCGTTGTTATTGTCTGACAAATATATAATATTCTTTCCGTATATGATATTCTATAAATATATGATTGTAATATGCCTAATATGCTTTATTTAGTTATATAATACTAGCAGAAGCCGCGGCTTCGCTCGCGCTAAAACTACAAAAAAAAACTCTAAAAAGGTAGGTTTTATAGAAACTTTCATCCCTTATTTTACCCCTTTATGGGATGATTTTCAAAAAATGCTGAAACACGTATTTATTTAATTATTTATTGCATTAATACCAATTTACAAGTAATTCTAATCATAAATATTTTTTTGGGTTGTATTATAACGTGTTTCCCTGTGGAAATGAGATAATCTTCCGCGGTAAAAAGTAGTTGTCACTCTCCAATCCTCGAACTATCTCCACACAAAAAATCACGGCAACCCATCACTCCGTTTTGCCGTGAAAGAAAGACAAACAAACAAACAAACAAACAAATAAACAAACACCTTTACATATTTTATAATATTAGTATGGAAGTATGAATTGGTTGTTTTAATTTATTTGCGATATTTGCCAAAGAAGTTCGACTTAATTTTTTTTAATTTATATTAATAACAGGTCCTATCCATAATTATCTCAGAATTAATAACGACGTTAGGTAAGAACATGTTTTGGTAAAGAGCCGTATTAAGCGTGTCTAAAACCTATTGCATTTTATGAGAAAGTATTATATTTTTGCTGCTAATGTTATAAAGATAAGATACTCTGGATTTTATTTAAATAAGTAACGCAGGCAGAACCGAGGCCGAGTTAATTATATTTTTACCATAGAAATATTTTACAACAATCGTCCAATATTCCACATGCTAGAATCGAACCTATTACTGTCTCAAATATCAATTTGTCTAACCACCGAGTTGGGAGAACTTTATATGTACATACGTCACAATAAAACCATAAACGTTTATGACGCACTCTAGCCTTTATGATATTTGATCAATCGTAACTATGTAATAGACTTGCAGTAGCAAATATTGGTTATACAGCGTGTCCTAAAATTCATACAAGAAGAATTTTTGATAGAAAATACAGGTTTTAAGTTCAAAAATAGTAATTTTTATTAGGGTTCCGCTTATAATTTCGTCATGTCTATCTATCCGTATAACACAGCCATTTTACTCGGCGACTATTGGAGATACATGACTGAATAAATGCTAAAAGAACAAAAATGTTTCACGTTACGGAACCATTGGTGTGCAAGTCAGACTCGTACTTAGCTGATTTTTTGAACATAATTATACGATACAGTTCAGTACAGTCCAAAAAACAATTCAATAACTACATGAGTTATATTTATACAAAACGATCGAGAAAAGGACCATACCTTTTGTAACCCATATGCAATTTGTATATGCTGTGAAATTATATAATTCAATCAAAAAAATCAAAATTTTTAACTGATAAGTGTTATCCATCAACATTATTGTAGCGTAAATTTTGAAACACCCTATACAAAGACTTCATTAACTAGGTATATTAATGCACTAGAAATAGCTATTTTTATTCTAATACCAACTGCTAGCGTCCAAAATAGATTTTTTTTACCATGAGATGTCCAAGATTTTAGTCTCTTCTGTGACCATGATTGCTGTAGAGCATTCGAGCGTCGGGAATGAAAATGAAAAACTTAAAAAAAACCGAAGTCGGTATGCTTTGATTTTTATCGGCTGGCACCGACTTCGAAAATATCTGATTAGGTATCTATTCCAAATGAAGACCGCCGTTTAGTTATTTTTTACCTTTTAGTGCCTGGAAGTCGGTTTTTACTTTTTATTAAAAAAATAGTTTTTATTTGACCATTTTTAGTGTACAAGTAATAAGCAGGTAATTTGTAAGGACAAAGTTTTTTAATAACATATTCGATTAATCCATTTATTTAAAAAATCAATCGTCACAGATCGGTCGAATAAATTTGATACAAAAAAAGAATTTTTCAAATCGATTCAGGCGTCTTCGAGTAATCGGTGAACATAAAAAAAAGATTCGGACGAATTGAGAACCTCCTCCTTTTCGGAGAAGTCGATTGAAAAAAAAACCGCCAAAAAATCCAAAAATACTTATATATTATAACAACCCAAATAAAACTCCTTATACCTGTATAAAAACGTCCTATCTCATACTGGGTGTTCCAGAAATAACACGCCAGGTAGATTGGCTTCAGGTCCATCAGATAGCATCAACACGATATTAGTAGAAGTCCGTTGGTTTTCGAGATATTATTATTAGAATTATCTATTTTCTCTTCTAAAACCTCCACTTTTTAGTCTGTTTTCGTCAAGCGTTACTCGCTAGTATTATAGCACAAAATGCAAAAAATATCTGACTCATTTTTCCAGACATTGGCGCATTTGAACAAACAAACTCTTTGTTGTATGTTGTATGTGTGCTTGTTTATATATAAATATAAACGTACCTATCTTATGTATATTAAATATAATATATTTACTTCAATTGTACATCATTTTAGATATAAATCTTAAGTTATATAAACAACACTACATGTTTTTTCGCGCCCATGAAACAATTGCAAAGCAAACATCTAGATATCTTATTGTTAGATATGTGTCTGATAATATTGCAACATATTTATTAACACTTTATTTTCTACTAGCATTGCCCGCGGCTCCGCCCGCGTTCAGATGACCAAAAACCAAATTCTTAGGTTTTACATATTAGTATACTCTTACATTGCAGTTTATGTATTTTTTCTCAGAAATGAGATATTTTTCCGCGGTAAAGAGTATCCTAGATGTTGACCTGCTATCACCATACCAAATTTCATCAAAATCTCTCCAGTGGTTCTTCTGTGATGCGGTAACAGCAGACAGACAGACAGTGGCGACAGGGGTGTCGTTGTTGAGAGCGTAAGCGATCCTGTGACGTCCCATTAAGATGGAGGAGGTTCTGTTGGGTTTTAGTGAGTAGTACCGACATTTTTAGCCGGTAAGGCCCACACAACCTCCTGATATAGGTGGTACACATAATTGCTCTTTATTACTAACAAAAAAGTACCAATAGGCGAGAGTGTACTCGCATGCAATAACTAGGTCTTAGATATAGTAATAAACACAAAATCTTAAGACACGTGCAAAGATAAACTTAATAACATCCACCTTTTAACATTTAATTGCATCGATAACGAAATTGGGTCGTTCACTTTTTAGTTACGTGATTTATATGCATCTATATATACATCTATCTAATAATTATACATAAAATAAAATTCTGAGTCGAATCTGTACATTAATTTTTATTTTTTTATTTATTTTATTTAATCGTTTATTACAGGCAATATTTACAAAAAGATCTTAAATATGTAAACAGAGGCCCATAGCATAATATATACCCTTAAATTAAATACTATTTGGAAAATATTATTTGGAAAATCTTATTGAAATACTCATTATTATCGATACAGAGACCGAATCTATAATTTTTTGAATTTTTGCCTGTCTGTCTGTCTGGGAATGCATCACGAGAAAACCACTGAACAGATTTTGATCAAATTTGGTATGACGATAGCTGGTTATCCGGGTCAACGTATAGGATACTTTTTACAGCGGGAAAATATCTCATCTCATTATTTAATTGTAAAACTGAACAGAGTGGTATAATCATGCGAACTGAGCTACACGTAGAGATAAGTTGAAGGTAAGCTTACAAGTATCTATACAGTGCACAAAACATTGACCTCAAATAATAATAATAATAACGTCCTCCCGACCGATTCCGGATACGGCAGCCAATCTCATTGAGACTAGCCAACTGTAGGAGATATTATACACTACTAGCGGACCCGACAGACGTTGTCCTGTCTACACGTCTTTAATTTGAAAATTTCAAACTTTTTTTAATATTTTTTTTGATGAAAATTATTATTCAAATTGTGAATCTAAACCATTCCCAGATCCCCTTGAACACACACAAAAAATTTCATCAAAATCGGTCCAGTCGTTTGAGAGAAGTTCAGTGACATACACACTCACAGAAGAATTATGTATATAAAGATAGTGCAGACACAACGTGCACTCTCTATTCCTGTCACTCTCATACTCCGGTGGGACGACTGCTCGACACGACCGGTGAGAGTTAAGGCGCAGGACCGACCGGCTTTACGTGCTCTCCGAGGCACGGGGGTGAAACACCGCCAACTTCCCAACTCCAAGCTATATGAGACGACAAAAACCTTCGTCTTTCCCATAACTACGTTTCCTGTAAAGCATTCGAACGTTGATAACAAAGAAAAACAACAAAAATAAAACCGGGAAAGAATCCTAATAAAAGTTATTTAAAATATTAAATATTCACGTAAATCTTTCAAAATATTACTTTTACAGTAATTTTACAGTAATTTTTTAGTTTTTTTTTGTTTTTTTTTGCTAAAAACTCACGAACGCAACGCAACAAAAATGTAGAACGCC